GCAGGTACCCGTTGCGCGTGCGGGTGCGGCTGGAACGACGGTCAAGGACGCTGCGGGACTGTGTTTCGGTTTGGTGTGGCGCATCGCATGCCTGGTTGCGCGGCCAAAATGGACAGTATGTGAGGTTTGAACAGGCCCACCTGCTGCCCAGGTGGACCCTAGCGAGCGACATGTCCCAGGACCGCTGCACCATCCTTGGCGCCCTACCGCTACTGTACCGTATATCAAGACCTAATTTACCCGCCCGCCGACACCAGCCATCACAGCTTCACTAAGTGTACACCATGTCGACGGCGACAGCCGACATGACGACGATAAGCCACGACAACCACGTCCGGCCGGTCTGGCCTGTCTGACCCTACACTCCATCCCTCTCACATCATCGAGGGCAAGCCTGTCGGGCTCGGCGTCTGTCTAGCCATGCGAATGGGCGATGCCGGCGACGACTCTCTCTCTTGGGACCGTGCTTCATCGACCATTCACTGCAACGCACTCTGCGTGCTGATCATGTCACGGCAAACACTTCGCTTGCAATCAACATTTGCATCTGCATTGGTGCATCCACACTCACGTACTCGTCGAATAGCAGAATCAATTCATGGATTAGCGCGCATAGAGCTGCAAGCTGCACATACCAGGGCGCATCAAACCCGTGTGGCAGCCCATGCCTGAGGCACCCAACCTCCAACTCTGAAGAACAACCCAGTCGTAAAAAAATAATCGCCGTATGGATATCTGAACCAACCAATAAGCTCCACTGCCTGCCTATGAGCTCCCAACATTGCTATAACTGAAACAAAAAAGAAATCACTTGTCCTGCGTCAATGCTTCCGCCGGTGCTCTACTTGAACGGCGGCTTATCGGCTGCGCTTTCCTCGATGCTCGCTGCGCTCAATGGCTGCGAGCGCGCACCACTCAGATCGCCAGAGTGCGTCTTGCGCAACGCCTGTCGCATCGTCTCAATCTGCACCGGCAGCTCTTCTCCCATTGCTGGGTTTGCGTTGCCGAGCACAATGGGAGACGTAGGGCTGGCTGGAGAGCGTGTGCGTCCCAGGTCCGCGTGCTTGGGTGAGGCTGCGCCGCTCGTCGTTGGGGGCGAAGAGGCTGCAGACCGCACTGGCGATGGCGAACGGTTTGCCGTCGACGATAGGCTCATAAACTGCAGGGCCTCGCCAGACGTGGTACCAAAGACGTCTTGTCTGTCGTGCTCCACGTGTTCAGCTTGCACCACGTCTGCAAAAGAAATAAAGCTCAAGCGACGTGGGTCAGCCGTGTCCAGTGAGCCGTAGCCGGGCGCTGTCTCGGAGAACTCGGCATGGCTTGAAGTCACGGATTCCTCGTGGGGGAGATGCGGCGAGTGTAGTGAATCGTTCATGCTGCCCGCGACTGCCACTGCCACTGGCTGGTGGGCAGAGTGCGTTACAATCTCCACCTCGTCGGGGTTCAGGTGGTTGTCGGTAATGGCCAATGATGTCGCGTCCAGCGCAGGTGGTATATGGTCTTCGGTCAAGATATGCGCAGGCACGTCCGCACAAGGCTCGGGCTCTTGCACGTTGCGCTCGAAGATTAGTGACGATGCTGGGCTGTGGAGGCCGGGCGACGTGGAGCGAATGCGACGGCCAGGAGAGGCGCCAATTGGCAGCATACGCGGACTGCCTCGCGGCGACGCTCGTCGTTCGGGTGGTGACATGGGCGGCGAGGGAAGCAGTGTGGTCGCTGTGGTCGAGGGGACAGTCGCTCTTGCGTCTTCGGTGGCTTGCTTATCCTCTTCGGTCCCCTTTTTCTTGCCTAGCCCCAGAAGCTTCTTTCCCTTTCCCAAAAGGCTGCTATCGTCTCCTGACTTGGTCTCGCGCGCTGCAGCTGTGGCGGATGCGGGCGGGTTGGGCTGCTGAGGGGCTGCGGCTGTGTTCTCGGTAGTCTTCATAACTGTGGGCATGACTGTATCGCGATGTTGCATTAAGAGATACGAGCTGTTCGCCCTATACAAGTTGCTGCGAGTCGGGCCTATAGTCTGGGAACCTGTGTTTCCGTGTCGTCACGCGGTCCGCCGTGGTTGTGTCGCTTTCAGGCAAGTTGCCGAGTGGGATGATAACCCTTGACGGCAAACCGAGCTGGAGGGTGACTGGAAGCTTCTTTACGCCCAAGATGGTAGAGGTGAACAGGAGACGCGCACAGTGACGTTTGGCAGTACCACATTCAATTGAGATTTACAAGCTAACCATAAAGTTGGGCGAACATGTCTAATATGCCCAATCGCTCCAGGGCTCTGCTTTGTTGATCGTCACGTGGGGCTGACGTATGCGCAGACCCTGAACGTTTTAGCCTTCAGGCACAGTTCCCCCCTGACTCATCCCGACCCATTGCCCGTTCACGCTACCTTCAACGGGCGTCCGCCTGACTATCTTTTCTTTCAAGAATCTTGATTTTTCGCCTCGAAGACATTCCCAACTCGATACCTCGGTGGTCGGGCTCTCATGACATGCATCAGGCAATCGCGCGATTTCCGTTGACTTGTATCGTTGCCCGCGATCGATAGCTGAAACTTGCATATGGGCATGGATGCAGCGAAGCACTCAACAACCTATCGGTAGTGTCTCGTGGACAGCCAAATTTCTCTTGCTTCATACTCCGTTCGGCCATCCCCGCAATCTGCTCTTCGCCAGTCAACTGTGACATGCTGACATGGGGTGTTCGTCACCTCACTGTTTGAGACAACAATCAGACTGTTTGCAGACAAGAGCGGATGGCGGCACAGCTTCCGCTGCGTACCAGTGCATCATGGATCGTATCCGCTACCAATTCCTGTTGCGGTCTTAGCCAGGTCAGACGTCAACGAATACTTGATCAGATGCATCAGTAATAGCGCCGAGTGTTTCCGTCGAAACAAATTTCCAGAATGACAGGCCATATTGTTTGGCTTACAAGATCTCTGCGGACTGCGCCACACTATCAGCGACTGTTTCAGTGGGATCCCTTCAACAATCAACAGCCTATCACATCCATAATGTGTCACGTGAGAAGTCAGCAGCTCAGATAGCATACAGTTTGCCTTTGGCAGAATTTGCCGAATGCTCATCCAGTGGAGGAGGAATACATGAAGAGAAAATCAGGAGACGATGAGAAGGTCCTATTCATGAGACCAAGGTGACGAATTCTCTTGGCTGATACAGTCATGCTACCATCTACCATGGCTCAATCAGGTTTGTACAGTCTACTGGATGAATATCTCGGTGTATGTTGACATTCGACGTCTGAACCATGCTAGCTGAGTAAGCTGCTGTCCAGTCGTGTTTCAGTCAAACGCCTCACAGTGGTTGACTAGTCGTATTCGTAATCTGCCAGGCAAGGTCGGAGATGTAAAGCCGTCGTAGATGAGGATACGGCCAGGGTACACATAGACGTATGTCTCAAACTTTAATGTTTGTAGTGATATGAGCATAACGTGACACATGCCGAGTGAACAACGCTACGCAGCCAAGCTATCTGAAACAAATTGACCCGACTTCGCAAATGACCTTCTCTTGACTGTTGAGTCCACGAGAACGTACGGTAACGTGCTTCAAGTGTCTGATGCAAGTTGATCCGTGAGTTTTCACGTTGTCGGCTATGTTACTAGAAGGTTTTTGTTATGGGTGTTGATGCAGATAGCATCAATACGAGCTCAATTTCGACTTCCTCCGGATAGGGTGATTGGTTTCTTCGTTCTGCTTCTTCCTTGTCCGTCATCATCTTCATCTTGAACCATCTAGCCCACTTCATTTTTAAATGGATTTCATCGTCTTTCGTATGCAGTTCTATCCAGAGCGATGGGTCATAGGCGTACGAGGTTTCAGAGCCTTTTCTTCTTTCAAATCCTCTGAGATACAACATCTTGAAGACGTTCACCATTCCAACAATATCCCAAATTGGCGAGCTAGATAGGCCGCTCAGTTCTTTCCAAATTTCAAGTCCGGTCATTGCTTCTCTAGTCGCGCAATTTCACTAAACGATAACTGGGATCCGAATTCCATGACAGGAGTTCACTCCGATTGGAACGTCTAAACTTGGCGTCCCGTGGCGCTTGAGGCCCAGAATCGCGATTTACGGTAGCAAGTCCATGAACCAAAGCATAGGAACAACCTAGCAGTGTTAAATTCCTCTTGCTAGGCGGTGTTTACTCGGCATCTTCAATTTCAACTCCACTTGCGCACATAATCGCCGGCGTGAAGAGTGGATCCACATTCTTGGTAGTTCAGCGTCGACCTCTGGACCCTACCTAGGTACCACGTCACGAACTTAATAGTCGGCGTTCAAACGTCAGTACGCTACCCACCCCCATGCATGAGCCGCAAACGCCTTCTTTCGTACAAACCCATGGCTCGCGCTTCGAGGACGCCAGATGCGGGCGTCTAAGCGGTGGGGATCCATCCTTCCTGGGGTCCCTGCATTTACATTTCATCAAAATAGTTTAGCGCCAAACGACCTCCGATTGACATCTATCTGAAGTCCGCAGCGTTCTTTTCTGTTTACTTTCCCAACGTCTCAATATACTAACAAAGACCCTGATGTGGAGTACGCAGAGTCGTCGCGACCTGGGCGCGTTTGCCCTCGGGTGTGCGCCAGCTGTGGTGCTGCCTTGTGTTATTGCCGGTGGGTGGCGAGTTTGGCCGTTAGTAGCGATTTGGATCGGAGGATATGGGCTGCGATGGCGCAATGGGGATCGTCAGCTTTTCACAGATGGCGCCATCCTTGGAGTTTGTTACGCATGGTTTGAGAGGAAAGAATTGGTTGCAATTGCGTCAAAGAGATGGAATTATACGATAGCCGTGTTGAGTGGGACCGAAGAATTGCCCACGGCGCGTATTGCTACTACCGCAGTCGCATTGGCTCTTTCTGCTGCCGTCTACGCATGGCTCACAAAAGAGGAACCCATAGACCCAAGATGGGAGGAGTTTGAAAGAAAGCGCCGATGGCGATCGGACGTGGAAGTGCCGAAAGCACGCATCTTTCCTTGCGAAACGAAACATGCCCGCATCTTCCCAAAGCGACACGCGTTCGCATATTCGTATCTCCAGTGTGGATATCCTATCGTACCTTGTGAACACCGGTATAATGGGATGGTTCGTTATAGCGGAATGGACGAATATTTGGGAAGGTGGTGGTTACGTGTAAGAGCCGAAGACTACCTCGCACGAGGCAATGGCCATCATGGATTCTATTGGAAGCTGAAGACGTATTTGCAAGAGCAGCACGTCAAAGATTCCGAATGGTGTTATGCGTACTTGGTTACAGCACCACGCTTTCTCGGCTATGCATTCAATCCCGTCTCATTCTGGTACGTCTACGACGCCGAGCACCAACTCAAGAAGATGATTTTGGAAGTCAACAATACGTTTGGTGAAAGGCGCATGTACTTGCTGGATGGGTCGAGTTCTCCTACTTCGCCAACCATGCCAAACGCTCAGCCATTATCTAGAGCAGAAGAGCATGAGCCACAGTTACCCAACGGAGCAAAGTCCAAGTTTACCGATGTATGGATGAAGGACTTTCACGTTTCACCTTTCAATTCTAGGAAGGGTTCTTATTCTTTGAAAGCACTGAACCCGTTTCCTTTCGTCAGTTACGAAGACCCAATGATCGACAACACGATTACGCTCAAATCGTCCAAGGACCATGGGAAACTTGTGGCCCGTCTTTACTCCACTGGCAAATCTCTTGATCCCGACCAACTGGGCATTTTTGGAACAATGCGATTCGTTCTGAGCTGGTGGTGGGTCGGCTTAGTCACGTTCCCACGCATCATTCGGGAAGCTGGCAAACTGTTCTTCAAGAAGAAGTTGCATGTATGGTTCCGGCCCGAGGTGCTGACTACCAGCGTCGGTCGTCTCCCCAGCTCAGCCGAGACGTAGGTCCATACGCATCCATGAAACCAATAAAAGCTAACATTTCCAGATTGATCTACCGAGCCTTCAGCAATTATCTCACCATGCTGGTGAACCAAACGGCAGTTCCTTTCTGCATCACACTCAAAACTTCGATTCCCGAGCCCGACACCGAATGGATCACTACATCAGGAGAAGACGATGAAAATCCACGAATGAGATATATCGAAATTCGTGTCCTCACACCCGGGTTTTACTCGCGCCTCGTACATTACACATATACATCAGAGGCCGTGGACCGCGAATGTATCTTCACCGATGAGCGAAACAGGACTTTATGGATCTGCCGCCCGCAATTACTGCCATTACTGCTTTCTCAGCACTCATCAATACGCATCAAAAAGAAGGACATGCGGGGAGTGAAACGAAGTTACCTTGATGAGCTTAGATGGTCGCTGCTCAAGAAGTTGAGGTGCGCGCCAGCTGATCCTGCATATTCGGTGACGCCAAAGAGTACCACTGCCACAGTCAGCGACATCCGCCATAGACCGTACTCTGAGTTGGACGAGTTTGTGAGGAGCTCCAAGGGACGGTGGTATGCCGGTGAGTATAGAAGAGCTGTCACAAAGCTGTTCTTAGCACAGCGCTTCTGTTTCGGATTTTCAGAGGGTGTTGGCTTGATCGACTTGATACTAAGGATATCCTTGTGTTTCCTTGCTGTCCTGCAGTTGAGAAACTGGGGCGAACTCGGTGAAAGGACAGGGTCAGGAAACTGTCTGAAACTGCTGCTGACCGAGAGGAACCTATCTGCTTGTCTCGGCGCGCTTGAGATTAGTAGCTGGAATTGGTGGTCGATGGCGAAAAGCGCTGCATCAATGTATGCCTGTCATGCCTATAGCCTGCTTAAAGGCTACAACTAGGTCCGTACTGCTGCGACTTTAATCTAATACCGAACCCTCATTACAACTCATACTTCCCCGCGAATATCAGTGTCCTACCGTTGCGAGTAAACTCCGAGTTATCAACGGTCGACAAAGATCGACACGATCGCCACACTTGGCTAGTCTAGCACTCTCTCAAACGCAATTATGACAATCTTCACATGGTTTTCCGGCTCAAATCCGTGAGGACATCGAGTGCACTTGCCTGTGAAGGTTGCAGATCAGTGACGGGTCTGGCCTTTTCCGGACATGATCAGCCGAGGTAAAACCCGCGTTTCGGAGCTAACAGCCGCAACCCCAGATTCTAGCACGCGCCTTCACATGCACACGCTACTAGACACAGGTACGACATTTCGACATGTGAAGCTGCAGGTGTCATGTGTTTCAGTGATACCACTTTTATATCTATCAATATGGTCATTGTGGGGTTTGATGTGAACAGCAGGAGCGTAGCTATGAGTGTAAGGAGATCAGATGCTGCTTTGACCCAAGGCATTGGCCAACGTCATGCTCAGCACAGTTCCGCTCGTCCCCCATCTCCGCCCGATCTACACCAGTCACGCTTGCAAACGGTCGACTCCCCTTGGGCCGAGGGCAACGCATAATCACGCTTCCGCTTCAGCATCACCATCACGCTAGACCGACTTTCTCACGCCCTCGGATGCTACTCGGTCCAATGGTGCGCTGAGCCGGTCCTCCCCGAGTGTTTGAACCATGTAGTAAAGCTGGGGTTAATGCTAACCTGAACCGCATGGGATGCGGATGCTCTACGTATAAGGAGCTTGGCTCCCCCAGGTGTGTGGGTGTTGTATACCGAGGCTAGAAACTTGTGCTGTCATTGCTTATCATCTGTCAAAGGAAAGAGCTTCGTCTTCTTTCTTCCTTCCTCTTGTCTTTGTACTTACCAGACGGATTGAGCTGCCAGACTGTCTTTGCTGACTCATACGTTTCGAACATCATTTTTACATTTAAAACAGACGCATAATGTCGGGTATTGACGCTGAAGAGGCGCAGTTCCAGAAGGAGGTTCAGGAGGTCAAACAGTGGTGGTCAGATTCGAGATGGAGGTACACCAGGAGGCCGTTTACAGCAGAGGACATTGTTTCCAAGAGGGGTAATCTCAAGATCACATATCCGAGCAATAGCCAGTCGAAGAAACTCTGGGACATTGTTGAAAGTCGTTTCAAGGTATGAATATTCCTGCAAGAGCCTTGATTCCATCTGACAATATATAGAACAAAGATGCGAGCTTCACATACGGATGTCTCGACCCAGTCATGGTTACGCAGATGGCAAAGTACCTGGATACAGTGTATGTTTCTGGATGGCAAGCTTCGTCAACAGCTTCATCAACAGATGAGCCAGGTCCAGATCTCGCAGATTACCCCTACGTAAGTTCTCTACAAGACCATCTAGTATAAGACGCCAGCTCATTTGTTCCAGACAACCGTACCAAACAAGGTTGGCCATCTATTCATGGCACAGCTCTTCCATGACCGAAAGCAACGTGAAGAACGTCTGACGACTGCGAAAGCCGACCGCGCGAAGGTTGCAAACACCGACTTCCTCCGACCGATCATTGCAGATGCGGATACTGGACATGGAGGTCTCACAGCTATCATGAAGCTTACCAAGCTATTCATCGAGAAGGGTGCTGCTGGCATACATATTGAGGATCAAGCACCAGGAACGAAGAAGTGCGGACATATGGCAGGAAAGGTATTGGTGCCGATTAGCGAGCATATCAATCGCTTGGTCGCTATCCGAGCACAGGCTGATATCATGGGTAAGATTTGTATCCATCGAGGTGCCTTTCGGATTGGACTAACATGAAGAACAGGAACCAATCTCCTTGCAGTTGCCCGTACCGACTCGGAGGCTGCTACTCTAATCACGTCTACAATTGACCCTCGTGACCATCACTACATCCTAGGATGCACAAACCCTGCCCTACAGCCCCTAAGCGAGCTCATGTACGCTGCCGAACAAGCCGGCAAGAACGGTGCAGAGCTCCAAGCAATCGAAGATTCCTGGATCAAAGAAGCCAATCTAAAGCTCTACCACGAAGCCGTCATCGACACCATCAACGCCGGCGTCCACGTCGACAAGCAAAGCATGATCAGCGAATTCTTGGCCAAGAGTAAAGGCAAGAGTAACTCTGAAGCCCGTGCCATTGCTGCCGGCTTAACTGGCGTCGATGTATACTTCAACTGGGAAGCAGCTCGAACCCGCGAGGGTTACTATAGGTACCAAGGCGGGTGTCAATGTGCCATCAACCGCGCCGTCGCCTACGCCCCTTACTGCGACATGATATGGATGGAATCCAAACTCCCCGACTACGCCCAAGCCAAGGAATTCGCCGACGGCGTCCACGCTGTCTGGCCTGAACAAAAGTACGTACATCCACCCCTATCACATCACATCAACACATACCTGAAAGTACCATTACTAACACCACCACCCATAGACTCGCATACAACCTCTCCCCCTCGTTCAACTGGAAAGCAGCCATGCCGCGCGACGAGCAGGAAACTTACATCCAGCGCCTCGCCAAGTTGGGCTACTGCTGGCAGTTCATCACGCTCGCTGGTCTACACCAGAGCGCCCTCATGGCCGACACCTTCTCCAAGGCGTACGCTAAACAGGGCATGCGTGCGTACGGCGAGATTATCCAGGAACCAGAGGCGGATAACAAGGTCGATGTGTTGACGCATCAGAAGTGGAGTGGGGCGAATTATGTGGATAATTTGCTCAAGATGGTTAGTGGGGGTGTGAGTTCTACGGCGGCTATGGGCAAGGGTGTTACGGAGGATCAGTTCAAGTGAGGGCTGGTAGATGGGCGTGTTGTAGTCAAGGTAGAGGGTTGATGAATATTGATCTTATAGCTCAGTACAGGGTCTTTTATACCTAGATGCATTTGAGTATATATGAGAAATCCCATGTACCGCTTCCTGTATCTTCACATGCACCCACACAACATCAACAAAAGCGACATGAAGACATATCTCATATAATATTGTCTCGATAAAAGAACTGCCTCCAACGCCAGTCCCATGCATAAACATATGCTCATAATGCACATATCAGCGGTACTTGATATACCGCTCCTCAGCAGTTTTGCCCCAAAAAAAGAACGCAACACACAGGAAAGGGTTTATCACATCCACGTCTGTGTCAAGAATAAATAATAAAGAACAGATGCTACACACATAAAAGTGCGACTGCGCCTTTGAGTGTATCCCGCGGAGAAAGCAAAACCCCTAGCGCCTTGTTTCTAGCCAATTTTTCTTCGCCTTGTTTTTGTACGTGTTCCCGGCACCCCTTGATGAGAATGACAGCACTAATAGACCCCGGGAAGAGATGCTCGCCGAGTTCAGGTACTAGCTGTAATCGAAGAGAACGCTTATGCTCTCTCCGTGGTGGACTCGTCGGATGGCCTAGTCTTGGATTAGTACTTTGCTGTTATTATAGCTTGTATTGAGCGTATTGAGCGTACCTCGGCGAAGACATTGCCAACTTCCAAAACCTCTAGCTTGGGACATCTCGACTTGTGCTCTTCTTGAGGCACTGTGTTGGTTACGATGACCTTGTCTAGCGCACTAGCATTGATGCGGTCAATAGCATCGCCGCTCAAAATGCCGTGGGTAATGAGCGCAATGACCTGGGTCGCACCCTCCTTCTTCAGAAGCTTTGCAGCGCGGGTAATGGTGTTTGAGGTATCCGCCAGATCGTCCACCAAGATAGTTGTACGGTCCCTCACGTCTCCAACCAACATCATTGTCGCATTTTGTCGGTCGCTGATCTGTGTAGGGCGGCGCTCCTTGTGGATGAGGGCAAAGGGCATTCCCAGTGCGTCGGCGATGGCGGTTGCTCGCTTGGCACCTCCAGCATCAGGAGAGACCACGACGGCTTGCTGATAGTTGGGGATGTTGAACTGGATGTATTTGCGGAGGAGATGGCGGCCGTAGAGGTTATCAACGGGAATGTCAAAGAAACCTTGGTATTGAGGGTCTAAGTCACAGTCAGCGCAATGTCGCCTAATTTCTTCCATATATACACACCATGAAGATCCATGGTAATTACATGGTCGGCGCCCGCGCATGTCAGAAGGTCCGCAATCAGCGTACCGGCCTGAGCGACCCATTGCCGGTATCCGACTTGAGGCTCAAAGGCCGGTGGCTTTGTGACGGTGGGCTGGCGCGTCAGGGTGGAGGTGCCGTTGGTACCGTTGGTCGCATTGGCTCCGTGCTCGCCATTGAAGTATGCCGACTTTTCTGACTTGGTCGAGTCGATGGTGTCGGTGCGCTTGATGCCGTTGGACTTGACAGGACTCGTGGGGTTTGAGTGGCCACCATTGCGCTCGTCCATCTTCATCCTACTGAGCTGGTGGTGCAGCGCGGCGGAGCCATTTGTAAGGCCGGCGCTCTCAGACTGGCCTGGAAATGGCGTGGGCGGGGCCGACTCGAACGTGTAGGTGCCAGTCCTGGAACGCGAGCCTGGCACTTTTGAAAGAGGCGCACCCGTCTTGTTGTAGGGGATATCTGACTGTCGCGAGTACGGGAAGAGGGGGAGCACAGCGGTAATGCGCTTCGCAGAGGCGGTCCGGCAGGCCGAGATGGTAATAAGAAGTCTGGAGCAAGGTCAGGCACTTCACTCAACTTCACCATGAGGATGGGCCTACTCCATCAAATGGTCGTTGACTGCGCGCAACACCAAAAGTCAGCGGGGCTTTTCAGAGAGTGCACGGTGGACGTGGTGGGTCCCAAATGTGCTGTCGTGCTCTCGGATGACTGTCGCAGAAGCCATGCGCAAGCAGCAGCTTGGGGGTTTTCGTACCTTTACCGCCGCCAGACTGGATGATGAAGACATCCTTGCCTCGAACACTCTCTTCAATCTCAACTCTTGTCTCACCGCCCTTGAACTTGTCAAGAAGCACCTTGGCCTTGGGTATGCCAAGGTGGTTGCAGATGGTCCTGCGATCAATTAGAAAAAAAAGAAAAGGCATTATCCACCACTGGAGGCTGCAACATACTCAGTGAGCTGCGGATGAGAAGTTCCGCCGAGCACCACAATGTTCCTCATGTTGAAGTCTGAGGAGAAGGTGGTGGGGAGGTTGGCTGCTACTTTGTCGTGGGTAGTCAGCGGGAGAGTAATTTAGCAAAAGAGCGAGCGCTTTGCGTGACGGGCCTTTTATCGATAGTGAGAAAAGAGGTGGGCTAGTCTTCCGCCGTTACGGCGCAGGGTGGAGCAGAGCACTTCAGGAATTTGGTCGCATGGTAAAGATGAATGGTCGTACCGTGCCAGAGAGGTTTTCGCTTCATTCGGCTCTTTCACTTTTTCTTGCCGAACCCCCATGTCGCCATGCTGCCTTCTTAAGGCCGCGACAAGCTTCGAGAACGCGCCTATCTGCACGCTCTACTGCACGCTGCACTGCTTGAGCCCAGCAAACACGATACTTCAGCTTCCAGGCCATCGCATTCGCCCTCATCGAGCTGCTACCGCGTTTCACATGCAGCCTGCCGGTCACGAACAATTACGCCATCCGCAATGGCCGTTGCATGAATGGACCAACGGAAGGATCCGGTTGGCGCTTACCTAATCCGGTTGCTCACGTGCAACCTTCACAAGCCAACGCGTGGGAAGAGCCCCCAAACTTTCTCCACCGGCTAGAATTGGAAAATGTCACTGTTGACCGCTTATCATGAAATGACGCACATGGCATGCACTCGCAACCGAATGCGGGGTCCTGTGCTATCGGCAGTCAGCCGAATGACGACAATTGTCCGCCTCCAAACGATACTCAAGTGCAAGAATAATATGGAATTTGACATTACGGCTTAGGAAGCTACGACATTAAGTATGAACTATTTACTAGGGGTATCTTGAGCATCATAATCATTACGCCTCTGAACATCTCAATGTTCACTCATCTTTGTCCTCTTCCTTCGATCTTTGGCGCTCCTGCCTCCGCCCGCGCCATGCGCCGCTGCTCTTCTCTGAGTTGAAGGACTTGCACATCGGCTATTCAACGTACTACTGACGTAGCTAGATGCTGGGCTCATAGGTCTTCTATTCGAACTTCCTACACTGCCATCGCGAGATCGGTTCGACGCGGCAGTGAAGTGCACGCGGGGAGGTGGTGATATTGGGCGATCATTAACGTAGAATCCGCCTGTACCATCCTGGGTGACCCTGGGTGGCGTTGAAGAGGGTTTGGTCCGTTGAAAGGCGTACTCGGGGGAGATTGGTTGGGATTCCCCTTCTCGAATAGAGCCAGTTTCGAGGTCAATGTTAACCATGTCAGTCCGTAGTACAGCAGGAGCAAAGTCTTGAGCATGAACACCTCTCGCGAGGAAGTCCTTATCGGCATCCTCAAACCGGCCACTGTCGACTGGTGACTTGCAGTGTTCTTTTGTAGCATGTGAGCCCACCAGGGTCATGCTGTGAGCGCCCGTACTGTTGCTTCCCGTACTGACATTAGGTGAGCGCCTGGTACCTGTCCGTACGCCGGTGGTACCTTGATTATTAAGTAATTGCGCCGTCCTGCGGCCACCCGCTGTCCGGGATGAATGATAAGTCCATGGAGGTGGGTTGGTCTCATCGAATTGTCCCAGCTCAAAGATTTCGCGCAATATTGTCCAGGTAAAAGGTAGATTTGCGACAAGGATGGCAGTCGAAGATTCTCGAACATACCAGTATATCCATGTCGACTTGTACGGGTTGCTGAAAGAGTAATAACTGTTCATGATGCTCGCCGCAACCACGAAGATTCCGAGAGAGAAGATGCCACACAGGATGAGTTTCCTCTTTATCGGAAGTAACGAACGGATCAGCATCTGTAAGGCGATGCAAAGCATGATTAGATCCGAGGATATGTTGAAGACGGCTTTGACGATTCGGTGGTGGACCAGTGTGTTGCATTGCGAGGAATTGGTGGGCACTGCGTAGTACTGTCGGAAGGGTCTACACCAGGCTGCGAAGTAGAGAACCTCTATAATGACGAACCCGAGTGCTGTGTAGACCGCGAGAACTTTTATGGCGATGTTTTCGTTGTGCTTTGCGGTCCGTGTAATGCGGTGGTACATAACTAGCAGACATGCCTTGCAGGACCATAGGACAGCAATGTGCAATTGTTCGACAACAACCACAAGCTTACTCCCATGGATTCTCTTGAATAATTCGTCGGCGGTGAGTGCATTGAAATCGAAACCTACTGGCTCAAGATTCGATCCGACTTTGAGCCACCGGTTTGAAAGTACAATCATGACCGTGTACGATGTTGTGACAAAAAGGCCCATGATCCAGTCATCGTATTGTAGACCTTTGACTGATCGAAAGAGCATCTTCCGGGAAACCCTGTAGATTGATGTGGTCAGCTGATTTGCCCAAATACTATGATGAACCGTCGTGTATTGCCCGTGTTGCATGTGACACCAGATGAGAGGGTACGAGACTATCTGCGCAACCAAAAGGGACGCCCATAATGTAACGATTCCTTTCAGCTATATCCACAGGTACCATATCTGCCTCAAAAATCTTGTCTGCATGTATGAAGGGGCCCACAACAGTAGTTGGAAACATACTCACAGCCTTGCGCCAACCATGCATACAGCGCATGTGTACCAGATCCATGATTCTTGATTAAATAGCAGTTGCATTGTCGTTTCGCCACACAGTCAAGCCGCTGACGCCAATAAATGCGTGTGTTGGGCTTCTGGGTATTGATAGCCGCAATCGCCGAAGGGTCATGTTGTAGAGCAACTCGAAAATTGAAACGCGTCCATCCCAATGGTTACAAGGCGTTGTATGTTTCGGAACCACAAACGGCGGGGAGACGTTGATACATAGCGACAGCAGAAAAGGAAAAAGAAAGAAGAAGAAAGCTGATAGTGTGTCTAGATGGAGAGGCGACAAGAGAGGCTAACCTCCATGACAGCAGCTGAACACGGCAGTTTCCCACTTGCAGTCACATCAATGTACTTGGGCCTTATCAGAGCTTGTGCCACACCCTCATCGGACCGCAGCGTGTTAGAGGTCCCGCGTGGGGTGACGGCTCCCTGTATCTGCTCCCGTATCGGGCCAATGGTGGGTGGCGAACGTGAAAGGCTGCTTGGCAAGGGCAGTGCCATTTCTTGTGCATGCCTGCGTGTTGCTTTTGCGCTGATCGCCGATTACAGCCTGAGAACCAACACATCCTTGAACTCTATGAAACATGGAGCGTGAGTGGCTGGAAGCGCATGAGTCGGGTCTGACTTCCTGCTATCTCGTGTCAATACCCTAATCCATGTGGTGTTGCGAATACGACCTCGCAGCGTTGTGAATGCTGACGAATGCATCCAGGAATAACGTGGCTGGGCATGCAATATATGCAAGATTACATCGGACATGCGGGAAGCCTACGGCCGCAGCTGGCCAGCGCATAAGAAAAAAACATCTGATGTTGAGCTGAAGCCTTGCAGACCTCGGAATTGTTGATGGCTGAGGATACTCGACAACGCAGCCGTGGGCAATTGAAGGGGCATGACGTCAACTCGCCGATTGCTGACCGCCTGTATATACAACGCCCTCACTTACCTTAGCATTCGTGTTGACATCTGAGTATCTGTATACAAGCTAAAGACTTGGAGCCGGCAAAACACAGGTCGAAGGGGTAGTAGGATCAAGGCTTCCTTCTCGTCCATTTCGTGGTACAGGCGATTGCTCCATGCGACTGTTGGAGTTTAGCGACGGCAAAAGCAACTATACTTTATCTCTCCCTTGACGATCTTCTGGCCCGACCGATCAGGTACGGTACCATGCCGAGGTAGTAGATCGCCCATGGCAAGGCCGGGGACGTTCACCGGCACGGGATCTTCGAGCCGGCAGGGGCGTAACGACGATCCCTTAGGTCTACCTAAGAGGCTGGTTCTCTGGATGCAAAAGTCAGCAAACAGGGCCCAGGCATCGTTCTCAATGGGTAGCCATACACATGTCGGGCGTAATGATGGATGCTGTCTACTGGGTGGTGCAGAAGAAATAGGCTGAAACTTCAGGACAGGCTCACCCCAAGGCTCCCAACGTCCCCAGGCTACACTTACGTTCACAGATATAATTTAACACAGGTTCTCCACAGCAGTTGAGCCCGAACGCAAATTGGCTGTGCTTCCTCCTATTCTGATCAACCCCATATGCGCCATCCACTAGACTGAATATCACCTGGGCACCAACCAAACTTATCGCGAAAGCCTGAACCAGACCCAATAAACACGTAGTCTATTGAGTTCTTTAGTAGATAACACATCCTATCTACCCTTTTTATCTATGCCTGGAGGTGGAGGCAGAGGTGGAGGCGAAGCTGGAGGCGAAGGTGCCAGCGGAGGAGGCGGTCGAGGCCGTGGGAGTGAAAGCGGGAGCAGCAGTGGTATCGATGGCCTCGGAACTTACAACGAGATAGCCCGCGAGAGCAACGGTCAAATCTCGTCTCCAGCAATAGCAGGTATCGTCATCGGCACCATCATAGGCCTATTGTTCTCCATTTACTTGATCCGCCGATACCGCAACTTGAGTATCAACAACCCGCAACCTTATGCCACCCGAAAACGTGGTAAACGACCAGACGTGGAGGAGGCGCCACCGATGATCGACCGCGCTACGATGCCAAGCGTACCAAAGCCAGTTGCTCTAGACGGGGGAGGCGGGAGAGTTGCAACGTAGCAGTAATTAGACCTGTTGGCGGTAATTGCAATTTTGATGGGGATTGAAAAAGGCACAATGATATTGAATCAAGGTTTCGCGGGGCAAGGCACTAAAGCCGTTGAGAATGGCCCCCTTTTGGCTCTAGCGACCGGGACGGCGTTGTGGGTGAGTCGAGAGTAAGGACTAGCAGACAGTCTGAGCACGATCAGATAAAGCAATTCGATTATGCCAGATCCAAATCTTCCGGAAAGGGGAGGGCAACATTAAGCGCATGGTTCATCCTTTAGATCTAGCCGCCCAATATTTGCAGGTAGGATTCTGATGGGTCTGTTGGTCGACTTTGGCTGGTAAGAGAGAAGTGTCACAGTTAGGCGGCTTGTTGGCATGCAGAACTTGTAGCTCGCAATCTCACAGATCGGGGCATTTGCTCTGGTAGTGCATATCTCTGTTAGGCTTGCCGATTATTTGGTGTGTGTTGCGGGAAAGGAACCCGTTCGAACCCTATCTTAGGGGTACCGAAAGTCAATTGTGCAGGGGCGCAGGCGGATATAGAAAGATTTGTAATTATTCCAATGGTTTATAGTGTTTATTCAAGCTACCTACCGTGCATTATATGTCTTCTTTGTCTCCTTTGCTTCATCCAGGGTTGCCTATCACAGCCCCCCGAGGCTTGGACTAGTGTGTAGATGACCCTTCCGTTTGACATCCTGCGTGACAAACTGGGCTCATTACCGTCTCCTATTTTCCATGTATACGTAGATTACTTGTATACACGGGAGCGTTTTGCTAAATGTCTTGGAACCTTCTCCAGTCATGCGCTAGGACACTGGGTGGCAACTCGTCCCAACCACCACATAATTCTCAAAACCAACATGATCCGGACGGCATGTTAAGAGTAAATACCAAATCAAAGGCTTTGGCCAGTCGCTCAAGCTCTTCATCTGATCCCATCCTCCCACCTACCTACCCCACTGTCCTTTCTCCGCCCCTCCTTAACGTCTCCAGTACCCGGTGTGAATAGCTCAGCAGACAGAACAAGAACTGCTGGCACAACAGCAAGCGCATCAATCGTCCCGCTCCTTCCCCTCTTTGTCTGATGCCTCAAGTCCATCATCGCATTGACTTCCCGCGACTTCACTTGGTCTTTCCGGATGCGCGGCCACTCTTCACTTTCCTTCGCGCTTGACAACGAAGGAGCGCATGTTGAGGATGAAGATGATGAGCGGCGGTAACGCCACGATGATAGGGATGATAGTGTGCGGGAGCGTGGGCGGGTCTTGTCTGTTGGTACTTCTGAAGGGAGCATGGAGGAAGCTGTTTGGGCTGCATCTTTGGTGTTGTTCATTGGTACGTGGGGTAATGGGATGTTGATCTCCGTGTATAGCGGTCCATCGTATTGTAGCGAAAAAGGCTCATGTGTGGTGCAAGGGTTTGGTGTGTCAAGAACTGGGGCATCGTGGTCGTGCAGGGGTGTCATGATGCCCGTATCGATCGTGGGAAACGGCTCGCAGAATGTTGTGGTGTACTCCATCGCAGCGGTATTTTTTGTCGATTGCGTAGGTGCTAAGATGTAGATATGTAGAAAGTGGCAGTCGGAGGTGAGATCTGTAATAAGTATCTTTGATCAAACGCTGATGAAAGACGGTGACGTTGTGTGGCGCAGCCTCTTTAAGGCAACCCTTCGCTATTCCCCGTCACGGTCACCGCGCGGTGTGAGTCAAGAAAATTTACTACCAGCACAGCCAGAGGGACAACTTTTCAAAGTCCCACAATACTCTCTTGGTCTTCTTCTTAGTGTTGACGTACGATCGATGCGAGTTTGGTGAACGAAGATAATTCGCAGGTTGCGACGACGCAGCCGCCGGCATCTCCCAACCCCACGATATAACCCAACCCAACCTCCCTAGGCCCTCCACGATCTGCGTTTCAGCTGATCATCAAAATAAGCCTCATTTCCACACGCGTTCCTTCAGCCGCGGTGAGGGCGTTCGGGAGCCGCTTACCCGGCTCCAAGCGGTGTCGTGGGGCTATGCAGAACCCGTGTGGCTTGGCAGCTGAGTTCAGCGCGACATCGGACAACTTCACATTCTTCACAATCTACGTGACGACATAAAAGACAGGTTTGACATTCAATGGTGACAATGTGCAACTGGTAGGTTTGATCAAAACAATTATATTCGCGTTATGACTCCATTAGCTATACAGCTTTGAGTCGTGGAAAAACATTCAGATGACAAATCTCAACTGATCAAGGGGATAGCATCCCAGGTTAAAGACAGTAACAGCGCTTCAGGTCCTACTCCTTCCCCGTATACCAGTGCAAATACCGACCATATTGCTAATCAAAATTATTACCCACACGCTCCTCATCTTGCAGCCACACGGAATCCATACGGTCCAACATCTTACCAACCCGCGGAGTCCATGGATCAAGCATAGTTATGAATGACTGTGTTCCACGGATGGTCATGGATTCCAAGTGACAAAATGGCGGCTGGAGTCGACGGAAAACATACATCAGCCACAATCTGAGGAATGGGTTGGGCCTTTGGCGCGTACAGGGTGATGAACATTGATGGCGGGGTAATGGTACGGGTCCGATACGACTGTGATGGGCGGCTCGAGATGCGAAAGGACACGGACTTCTTCGAAAGTGTATACCGGGCCGTATGCTAGAATGGGGTATGGACGGTGCATCGCCAGAATTTTTGGCGTAGCGTTTCGACAAGTACTTGACACTGAGCAAGCCAGGAGATGCTGTGTAACAGACCGGTACGACTTCTTCCCTTCGAAAAAGGGGGAACCCAGCGCCACCCACACGATATTCTCAATGCTCACTAGTCGCGGCGGCAAGTCTCGCCAAAGCTTGCTCATCATTACTTCATTCTCAAAGAAACCCCTGCCATCCAGTGGAGGTGGTATAGGCATTCGCTGTGTGAGCTTCTAGACTCGATATGAATAGTGGTAGATAGAAGATGTATTCCATTTCTCGATCTGATTCTTCTCTCAACAGCATCACCGTATTGGCCATCCTTGGTACACCAGCAATTGGATATATGCTTGCAGGGGTCAAGACCACATCAGAATTAGCTAATAGAATTCCTATATTGAAGAAATCTACACTAAACTATGTACATGAAACCCTATCCTTCCTCCCTACAAGACTGCCTGGGAATATTCCTAAGTTCCTACTTCCTTTCCATACATTCCATCCCCACCCCTCTAAACAGCCTTGCAGCGCCCAGCATAGGGAATGTTATGCTGAATTGACGCCAAATACGTACAAACATTATATGTATCAGTCTCCTTGTAGTAAACTACAGCCACCATACCACTCTGGTCCGCATAATTCTTAGGGGCACCCTCAGACCATTCCGAGACCGGAATCTGTATTGATTGAACTCGTCAGCAAAAGGTCACCCTATCGTCTCTTGGAACAGAAACAAAAACAAAAAAGAGCGTCTTGCTTACCCAAGCGTACGTATCATCAGAGTTTGACGGACAAAGGGCCAACCGAGGTCCGGCCCACGTTCGCCCAGAATCGGCTTGCTTCTTGGCGGAAGGATAGCCCGCGAGGATGTGTTTCTCCAATTGTGCGGCGGAGACGGTGGCGTAGTTGCTGTCATAGCGCTGGCAGGCTGTGTCGCGCACGCCATTGAAGGTAGCAGCGAGGGCGGCAGCGGGTAGCAGGGCGAGGGGTGTGAAGAAGCGCATTTTTGAAAGTTTGGTAGTGCTGTAGGTGTTGTAGGTGATTGAAGTATATTATTTCTCTAGGAAACAAGCTTATTTATGTCGATAATTTGAGCGAGGCTGATTAATGACGGAGGACGCCGGATGGGCTTACTCGAATTAAACGCCGAGTATACGAGCTCGAAGCAGTCCCTGTAATGTGTAGTGTGCACTACTAAATATACGAGAATGAACACGGTAGCAATCTGTAAGATTGCTCATGTGAAAGCATGACTTTGTAAACTCCAAATTAGCCAAAAGAGAGACATCGCAAACCGCAAGTTGGTCCCAAGTAATTATTCCGCAATATCAAATTTTGAAAATCGAAATTGAAATCGAAATTGCAACCTTTCAATACGTCCATCCAATTTGCAAAGGGGAGGTCCAGCCGATCCCATCCGGCACCCCGGTGCTTACACGAAAATGTGGCTGTGAAAAAGTGAACGGCAGTATGGCATACATCAATGGATATATTATGCCGTGAACTATCAACTGAAGGCGCAGCCCGTATATGCACCGCCATGCGGTGTACGTATGTAGGATCTTTTGTGATATATGACAGGAGTTGATGCAGTTGACAGCAGCTTCATGACAACTACGTTAGCGCCGGCGGTTCATATATGGGATTTGGCCGAAGGGCAAAGGGTTACTTTCACGTAGCCTTAGCTTTCTTCGCACGTTTGCGGAAAGTCGGTTTATGAAACCATGGTTCGCGGGCCTATGATAGATGAGAGGTATTGTGGAGATAAGGCTTGTTGATAGGGTTTGGTGTGATGAGTAAGGAACGGGTTGAATAATGAAAAAGACACTTGGTGGGAATACCATCTCTACTGCTCTACTGGAGCTAATTGAGCAGCGCGTATTGCGGTGTATACTTCAAAGCGTATAGATTTCATTGTGATACCATTTCTGCATTTCCACCACCAAATTAGTCTCTCATACCCGAATCCGAGCTCAATTTTTCAACACCTCCTTCGCCCTCTCAATAATCTCCTCCGCCCTCGCCGTACCTCCGACCTTACTCTCCAGCAACGCCCTCGCTTTCTCAACGATCAGCTCCCAACTACCCTCCCATTCACCCAATCTTTCCTCAAATACTGCAATCACAAGCGCAGTAGCAAATGCTGTCTGATTCACGCCAGTAGGAATACGAGATTTCACGGTCGTCTCGTCCAAACCAAGGCACTTGAACAACGATGAGTCGTAAGCCCAAGAGCCTGCGAAAGTCTGTAGAGAAATGAGATGGTGGAGGAGTGGTTCGCCGATTAGGGCGACCACTGGAGCCACTACAGCCACTGGAGAGGTGAAAGGAGGAAGAGTAGGTGCGGAAGAATGAGCGAACGTGGATGTCTTTGGGTCCTCCCATCCCATATGCAGGTCTGATACTCCCCGTCGCATGTTAGGGGGTGATGCGTCTTTCATTTTTGTCATCTTCAAACGCCTTGGGTTATCCTGGTGGAGTACCATGAGTCCCATCTGATAGTCTTGCAAAGTTTGAGCATGGCTTTTCGGTTGTTGCTGCGGACCTGAGTGATTCATAGCATACGACGCACCGGAGCTATTGGCCCCGGAGCTCGCTGCCTGCCCAAAAGCAGCTGAATTGCTAGAGTGACTTCCCGAAGCACCAATTAGCTGACTAGCAGGTTGCACAGAATGAAAGGCGCTGTTTGATTGCTGCACAGAAGCATGCGTGGAAGGACTAGAGGAGCCGAAAAAGTCGTCAGTGATGGTTGGGTCATAACATGCTGCAGCATCAATCATGGTAGCGTAAGTGTTACTGGGTGGAGCACCGAATAGCCAAGAACTAATGTTATGCACCTGATGTTGTTGTGCTACTTGAGTGGCAGATTGCGCGGCGGTAGGAGCAGAGCCGAACAGCATACAGGAGGCGACAGGAGCGTTGCTAACCATGGGTTGTGTTGGCCCACTAGATCGCTGTGCGAATAGGCTTGGTGATGGCTGGTTCATGGGACCCGTTCCGGAATTGCGGGGGAAAGGGTTAAAGACTTGATGTTGCTGAGATTGCGGGTTCACAACAGGCTCGTCTTCTAGCCACTCCCAGTCCTTAGTTTTACTATCCTGCTCTTCAGCACCGCCCTTCTTCGCCTCTACGGCAACAAAGGAACACCATTTCCCGCCAACCTGAAACTGCACGCCCAATCGTACAGCCTCTCGTTCAACCATGTTTTCATAGCGACCTTCGAACTTCGTCTTGATTAGAACGTCTGATTCATCTTTCGCTTGTGAAGTCCATCCGCGGCCTTGTTCCAGCTCGGAAATGGCTTTCTTGGCGGCAAGTTGATGGATGGTTTCACCGGGTGTATCGAGAATCTGGATAGGAATCTCGAGCTCAAGCGGTCCTTGGACGCTCGTTCCGCGTAGAATAACAGACTGAGGTGTTGCTTGCAGAGCTTCGGGGTCCAACAGGAGATATACTGTCGTTCTGTTGAAAGCAAATAGTGAAGGTATCTGCTGTGGCGCTTGTATAATCTTTGGTACAGGAATACTGGGGAGGTGCGCGTATCGTTGTTCACCCGTCTCATCGTGTGCTACAGGACCCTCTTCATCGGGATCAGCGGCCGGATCGAATAGGGATATGGGTTGTTGCTGGCCATTGTAAGTGAAAATACTTTGCATGCTTCGTGGACTCAAACTCACAGTCTTCTCAGGGCCTGTTTCCTCTTCCTCTAGATCGAGCTTCACCTTGAGACTATCAACAACCTTCTCAATGATCTCGAAATCATCCATATCATCATCGCTAGGAGGTTTCGACAGGTCCCTGTTACCGTACTTGACTTCGAGAGTGTAGTCGGTAATATGCGGAGATAACGCTCCCTTCAACATTCGGACAATCTTCTTATCCATCTTCTCGCCATCGCCAACTGTCTGCGAGAAGCCATTTCCTGCTTTGGCTATACCTTCGATGAGCGCATGCGATACTCCCATTCCAACTCCCAAAGTGAAGACCCGGATTGGATCCTTACTTTCCAAAACGGATTGATTGAGGTATGAGAAGAGTTGTTGTTGGCGCCAGATCTCGCCGTCGGTGAGCAACATGATGTCAAGCGCCATGTCTTTGTATCGATTCTCGATCGTTGCTTGCAGTGGCTGTAGCATCTCTGTGCCGCCATAATTAGCCGTCATGCTATTCACATGATTGATAGCCAGGTCAAGCGTCTCTTGACTATATGTGACGCTCTTAGGCCAAAGGAAAGAGTGCGTGTTGCCGAAAGAACATATGTTGAACTTGACACCAATGGGAAGCGATTTTAAGAAAACCTGGAGTGCTTGTTTGGCAAGATCTATTGCGGTTTGCATGCTTCCGCTGCGATCGCATACGAACACGATCTCGGGGGTTTCAGGGCGAAGTGAGAACTTTGGTACTAGAGTAGCCATCAGAGCTCTGTGATTGGCGATGGTCGGATGGTTCTCGATGATGGCTTTTGGGGTTCCAGTGTTCTTTGCGATGATTTGCAAGACAAAGTCAGTCTCCAGCTCCGCGGTTCCAAGGGTAAGTGTTGCAGAGGCTTTTGTCATTGTGGGCTCTGCATTTGGAGCAACTGAAGTTGTGCCCATGGTCATGGCGATTGGGTGGGTTGGTGACTGCATCTTTTGAATGAAGGATCCGTCTGCCATCTCTGCGTCGACAGTAATCGAGATGCTACCACCCATGGCATTAGTGGCGGGAGTTGTACGCAAGACTCCAGGGTATGAGCCATAGCGCGGGCAGATGAAGGTTGGAATGGTGAACCGGATGCCGTCAACTTCCATATCGTGCTTCAACTCGCCAAGGTACGTGATTTTGATGACAACCTTTGCTCTGGGTGGGATGTTACCAACAGTAGTCGTGAAAACATCAGAAGCATCTGGTAACTGTTCAAGTAAACCAGCTGCCTCACCCCTCGCGGTTGCTTCTTGATATACAGCCCTCGCCTTCTCCTTCTCCTTCACTTCGCCCACTATAGTTCGCTCTCCAATATGGCATGTGAAGCCCACAACACTGACTCCATTGTAGAGCGGGAACATATATCGGCATTCCCGGATGCCTTTCTCAGTCGATGGGTTGACGAAGGTCTGTGTAAGCACTGTTCGTGAGGTGGTTGTGAGGATTGTGGCATGTGCTTCCATTTGAACTTGGGGAAGGAAGTTCTTCTCCTGACGCCATCCATTGGGCTGGCCGCGATAATACAGACCGCTCGTGTAATGTGACACTGATTGGTGTTGGAACATGTTGGCGAAGAGGGCAAGGTTATAACGCGGCTTGTAGGGTAGATAGGATAGGAAATGTGTAGTTTCAAAGTAGATGAAAAGTGGAACTTTATTGAATTTCAGAAGTTCTCGTTCGAACTGAGATGAGATTTGATCGTGTTTGCTTGGAAACAAGGAAGACTCCCAGCGTCTTTAGATATAGCCACTACATGGTGGTGCCTGGTGTCTGCCTAGCTGAAATGGGAGCCTTGCACGGTTACCTCAGCTCATGCTGTCTCATGATTCGTGCAGAGTACGAGAAGCGGAGCTTTTTACTAAAATCCAATGGAACATGATACACAATCAGCACCCGTCCTAAACAGACCAGCAAGTAACATGCTGTGATTGCTGTAGTGGCGTTCGTATGCTCTCGAAAAGATACAATCTGGAATGGCACTTTATTGGAGTGACGTCGTATCCAATATTTGAACGCGTACTGCTTGTACGGTACTCCATCGTTGGCATGTGAAGCCGTAGTTGTGTCTGGAATGGTCGAAGAGAGGCAGATGGCATGCGGCGACACAGCCTCAACGTGGGGTCGTCGATCCACCATGCCACCCTCGGCTAGAAGGGCTGGACCCTGAACGTCAGGCTGCACGCCAAAAATTACGATGAGAGTCATCCATCATGGCATCCGATAATGCGAGGGCTGCTACCCCACGCTTTTCCAGAGTTTCAGCTTTCGCTTCACCGGTTATTCTGCTCCAAACGTGCTTTTCACAAGCTCTCTAGAGTCCCGCGACGTGTGCAAATCCGTGAAGCGCATGGCAAGGAAGAAAGAATGGCGGGATACGAGAAATGGTCGCATCAGCAATTAATTGCAAAAATCAAAGAGTTGGAGAAGCGCTTGGGAGATAATGCGCAGGGAATACCGATAAGTGATGGTGAACCGACTTCATCGCTGTCATCCAACGAGCAGGAAACCCCGCCAACAGAATCTAAAAAGCCATTTGAGGTTCGTAGAGCCACTAGGCCGCCACCAAAGGCATTTGATGCTTCCAAATACGACACCCGGCTAATTGCATTGAAATTTGCCTATCTTGGCCAGAAATATAATGGATTCGAGCATCACAAGAACAACACTACGCCACTGCCAACGATTGAAGAAGAACTTTGGAAGGCGCTAGTCAAGACGCGGTTAATAACCCCTATACCAACAGCCGGAGGTGAAACAGAGAGTTATGAAAGGATAGACAGAAAGACATTTGCAAGATGGGATAGGGAAGGTGCAGATGTAAACTGGGATGGCTGCGAGTACTCAAAGTGTGGACGTACAGATCGAGGTGTCAGTGCCTTTGGACAGGTCATCGGTGTAAGAGTTCGAAGTAACAAACCACTACCAAAGGCTCCTCAATCTCCAGAAGAGACTCCAGAGACAAATGAAGAGGAAAGTCCACCATCATCTCCAAGCAGCGACTCCAAACCCCCACCAAAACCCTTCAACGACCTCACCGACGAACTCCCCTACATCCAACTCCTGAACCGTGTCCTACCCCCCGACATCCGCGTCTACGCCTGGTGTCCCAACCCACCCGCAGATTTCAGCGCACGCTTCTCCTGCAAAGAGCGCCGCTACAAGTACTTCTTCACGAACCCTTGTTTCGCGCCCGTCCCCGGTTCCAGCGGACGCTACAACACGTCCAGCACGCCCCCACAGGCCATGCGCGAAGGCTGGCTCGATATCAACGCCATGAAGCAAGGCTGCGCACACCTCGTCGGCCTACACGACTTCCGCAACTTCTGTAAAATCGACGCAAGTAAGCAACTTACAAACTTCCAACGTCGCATCTTCCACGCCGATATCGAGGAAGTCTCGCCCTTGTCTGTTCCAGCATTTCTGTCGCACCCCGCGCTCACAGCACCAGGGCTTCCTGCGAGTGAAGCACCGAAATTGTATTCTTTTACGCTGCATGGCTCGGCGTTCTTGTGGCATCAAGTCCGCTCCTTGATTGCAGTCTTGTTCCTCATAGGCCAGGGTCTAGAGTCCCCGGATATCATCCCCCAACTCCTCGACATTGAAGCTAACCCCACGCGGCCGAAGTATGAAATGGCATCGGATGCGCCCCTCGTCCTGTGGGACTGCATCTTCCCCCACGCAGACGAAGTGCAGAGTTCAGAGGAGCGCCAGCACGGGTACCAAGACCGGTTAAACTGGGTCTACATCGGTGACGAAGGCGGTATGGATCCCAAAGCCAAGGGTCTGTCAAAATCCGGTACAGGACCTAGTTCCATGGGCAGGGGCAAGTGGGGTCGCGGCGGTGTGGTGGATGATGTGTGGGAGATGTGGCGGGGGAATAAAATCGATGAAACACTTGCTGCACTTTTGCTCGATAAGATTGCGAGGCTGGGTTCGTCGACGCTGGATAAGGAGATGGAGGTGGAGGAGCAGACGGTGGGGATTGCGAAGGGTGGACCGAGGGTGTTTGATGGTGGGGATATAGGGAGGGCAAAGGGGAATTATACAAACCTGCTTGAGAGGGAGAGACAGGAGAGTGTAGAAGTAGTTAATGAGCGGTATAGGATGAGGAAGGGGATTGACGCTGGGACGCTAAAGGCGAAAGAAGAGGACGGGGATGAGTAGGTGGTGCGGGTGTGTAGAATATGTGCAAAATATCGATTTGTTTGCATTCATATGCCGCGTTTTATTCCCACACTATTCGATGCTTTCTTCGACCAAACAAGATAGACTTTTCCGGGTATCATATTTTCCATCCTCCACATCCCACCCATCCCTGCCATAGATAATCCCACAGTCCCAACTCTCCATCCCACCCCAACCTAATCCCCAGTGTTCAACTCCAAATCAATCTGAACCCCATTACTAATCGCATAATCCGCACAAGTGAGATTATCGTGAAACGGCCTCTCCCCCTGCCTCTTAAGCATAATCTCATGCACCGGCCTTCCAATCTTCGCCGCCACCATCGCCTTCAGCAGCTTAATAGGATCGCTAGGCAGACAAGGAACCTGAGTCTTTGTGCCCAAACGGTCGTTAATAGTAACTAGGATCATGGGTTCTGATGGCACAGACGGAGCAGCGGTGGCTGTTTTCTTTGGCTCACGAGGCTTGGACTCACGCGGACGGTCAGAGTCGCGGGGTCTTCGGTCGCGCGAACCGTCTCGTCGTCTGCTGTCCCTGTCTCTGGAGTAATCTCGTCGTCTTCCGCCGTCATCGTGTCGGGGTCGCCTTTCGCGGTCGCCGTGGCTGCGATCGTCGTCGCGTCGTCTCTTGGGCCTCCTGTCCATATCACGAGGAACATTCCTATCTCTGTCGTCTCTCCTTCTCTCGGAACGATCTGGACCGCGTCGGTCGCTGTCGCCTTTGAACTTGAGGCCGCTGTAGTTTTTGGGTTTGCGTGACGCAGGTGAGCGCGACCGACGGGGTGAGCGCGAACGTTCTCGTTTTGTCGGTGCTGGGCGCTCGGAGTCCATGACGGGTAGGCTGATGCTTGACGAGATGTAGGAACTGGGGTTGGTAAGGTAGGTGGGAGGTTATGCGCAAGTGTGGAGTATTATGGTTGTGGTTGAGGCAAGGCAGCTATAGAAAACGTGAGCTAAGGATGCTGCTTATCGATAAGCCGCCCTTACGCGCGAGTCGGCATCGCGTGTGCCCACCTTTTTCTCATCTCTAGGAACTCCAATACGAAAGCGTAGCCCCCACATCCCGGCGTTGGTTATCATCCACTGTTGCTCAGATGATGCTTTATCCGCATCGATAGTAAAAATGCCAAGCCTCGTCCACCGTCTCAATTCCCCTCCCGCACAAACTCTGCACATCCTCCAACCCACATCGTCAACAATCACTTACACTGTCTCAACACGACCAGTGCCCAAGACGCTTCCTGCACGCGTGAATTACTATGCAGGAATCCTTGCAAGGGTACTGTTCGGACTAGCGAGTATATTGGCACTATGGGCGAAATGGCGAGTTTGGAATACACAGTCTCTGGGCTACTTGGCCCTGATCCTCGGGAGTGAGGGGGAAGGACGTGTAATGAAGTTGGTACAAGGTTGTCAATGGCGGTATCTGACACCTGGTGCATGGCTTATAGTTTTTCTGGTGTTTCGTCGTGCATACACGGGTACGTTGCTGTTGAGTCTTTGCCGTCTATCCTATGATTAACACCCCGACAGAAGAATCCCTGACTATGCTTCGAGGCCTCGGTGTTCAAACGTCAACCACGTCTTCTACATACCTCCAGGCGCCTACAACGCGCTTTATACCCACGACCAGTATCCAGGATATCTTCATACATGAGGCGTTCAAGGGGTTTGAAGTGAGATTCTACCTCATGATTGTGGTAGAAGGCGAGGGAGAAGTCGTTGTCGTTTTTCCGACATTGCTGCCGAGACGGGATGTATTGGAGGTGGTTTGGAGAGGGGTGAGGGGGAGTCTGTGGGAGGGTGATAGAGAGAAGGCACGTGTTGGGGAAACGGGAGAAAAGGACAAAATAGACAGCGTGTGAAACGCCATCGTGTGCATCACCAAGGTTGCGATCAACTTCTGAAGGATGTAATAAGCAAATGTTCTTGTATCATTGCCGTCATAGCGTGACCATACCTTTAGGTTCGTGATGCGCCAGCTTGCATTACAGCTTTCTCGATCCATACGGCTCCCATACTGGCAGATCCAGACCGATCAATTAACCCCCGAGCTGTTTCTAGTTGCTCGCCAGAGGATAAGCTCATACCGCCATCCATCCAACCCAGATAAATATCGTGCCCAAATCATCTTGACTAATACCTGTACCTAGTCGAGTAATCCTTAGGACTAACCACCAAACCACGCCCCTTCTTCGCGCCCCGATAAACAGTCTCAATAATATCCACAAACTCCTGCTTATCCTCGAGCACCCAGTTCAACTTGTTGTTGTTACCCGTCCCAAAATCGCACATCATGTGCTTGTTGCGGAAGAAGAACATGACGGTACACGGGTCGTAGAGCTCGTACATGGCTTTGAAGTCGGGCACTTCGTCTAGGTCGCACAGGTAGATGGCGCAGAAGTTCTTGACCCGATCGGCGATCTTGTAGAGCACTTCGTCTTGCGACATGCAGTCCGGGTCCGAGTCGCGGCCGAAGCGGATGAGGACGAGGCGGTCTTCTTCGCTGAGGATGGCTTGGTCGACGTGCCAGCCTGTGCGCAGGTGAGGGAGGACGACGGAGCCCATGGTTTGGGTTGTGTGTAGGACGGTGAGAAGTTGGGATTGAGGTTCGCAGATCCGGGCAGTTCAGCGGCGATCGGGCGGTTGCGCGGTTGCGCGGTTGTAGCGTGAGGCTTTGAACAGCGATTATAGTTCTAGCTTTTGCGGTCAAAGATCTATATGGTTTGTGCGTGAAACAGTTGTCGTGATTATACGTATGCGCCGGGTTGCGAAGTAGTGTCGAGAGGCGTGGGGCGCTCTATAACTTTACCAGCTGCAAGGCCGCCGCCGCGTCGCGTGATCTAGAATGTTCGCGGAAAGCCCCACCGCAACCATTCAACCAACACCGCAACTCACACTTCTCAGATTACAATCTCACAGTACATGATGTTGACATTTCACTCATTGTATTGTTGTAATTTACAGTAGTCTGTCCCATGACTGCCTCGAGCCATCATGATGTCCCATGGTATAATCGCCTGAACTCCGGTCCCAATGCACCCATTTTACGCCGATGTATGCTCACTCTCATGAGTCTCACACCTAGACAGTGCTAGGATACATCATAACCCTGACACTAGCACCAAACGACTTGGGAGGGAGGTTGCTCCTGAAGGAAGCGCGCACAACACCCGAGTTGCCTATCCCCAGAAAATTAGCCATTGCCCCAAATATCCCTAACCAACAGTATATTTGCATGTACGCACCATGTGTCCTGCGGATCTTGCCCCAGATAACCCTTGGTCCCTCGGCCTTGCTGCTGGGAGCCCGGTAGATGTACGCAACGCGCTTTCCAAGGTACCACTGCGCATCCTCGTTGCTGTCGACGCCCTCGAGCGAGAGGAGGCTAACGTTGGGGTTTGTGTTGCGCTTGCCGCGCTGGTAGCTGATGTGGCGGCCCTTGACATAGACTGAGGTTGGGTAGTCAGTAATGAGGTTCTTTTGGATGCGATGAGCAGGGTTTGCTTACGGCGGTGGCTCTTTTCGGTGGTCATTTTGGGGAATTGGTGCAGCGGTTTGTTGGAGAGTGTGTTGTTGCGAAAGTTCGGCGTTGTGGACTTTACCGGCTGGTGGATGCTCGTAATTCATGTGCGTATTCGGCAAGGTGATTATGTAATATCCTGGTACGAGGGACGGTGCCTAAATCCCTACAATGTGCTCCACATCTATGGGAGGCGGGATTGCTTGTACACAACCTCATCATGTTACAATCCCAGTCGGATTATCATGGCATTAATGCAGTTGTCTACTTGGCCAATTCCTTGGCCAATTGAAGTATCCAAAGAACACTTTTGCTACTTTTCGTGTACTAACAGGGCTCATGTATTCTCGCAGTGTAACGTTTATTCGAACGTATCTGACTTCTGGATGCCTTGGGGTGAAGACGGAACCACACACGTAGGCTTCATATCGACATTTAGTCTGCAGCTCGAAGCTAGAAATTGGAGAACTGTTCTCTTTGGATAATTCTCAAGGCTTTCCTTGCCAGACGGATCTATGAGTGAAAGTCATTAGCTAGTATCGCTCACAGACTTATCATCGTCAATGCCGTTCTCCGCCTGTCTTTTCCGCCTGGTGCTTACCCAAACCACAGATCTTAGCCCACTGAATACATCAGCCCTGAATCATGGGTATAGAAGGTGCCCCTGCAGAGATGTCCCTGACGCTCCTGAGACTGTATTGATATTCCATGTCAACCTCGTATCCCTCGGAGAAGCCGGCTTTGGTTCCACTTCTTGCAAAGCATGTGCCGAGGCGGCGGACTGTCTCTTGTTGAAAGTCGAACACGGGCTGACCTTGTCAACGAAGCGAAAACATTTTCCGCCGATCCCTATCGATATGGAATTCCAGAGCGATTTGTAGATTGGCATGCTGGCACAGAGTATGGCAGTGGCCCTTGATCGCGGCATCAGTGAATGAATCTCAAGCTGGTCATACTACCTAGGTAGAGAGGTACTTACAGATGAATGCTAGTCCAGAGCTCCGCTTTGTTGAACAATACTGGAAATGCTTAGCGAGATGTGCGCTCATTATATCAAGTGTCTTACTTTCTCCATCCTCCACATGAAGATGCATAAACACGATTCGTATGACGTTGGTGATGACAACGAAACCTCCTAAAGCGAATATTCCTGCCACAGCAATCCTGTTCTTACGCGGCAGATGTAACTTCATAGCCGTACGGATGGGTAAGACCAGGATGAAAACATCAATCACCATATCGACAATGAGCATGGAGTACGCAAAGGCCTGCCAATGCACACATTGGCTCACGGGTGTTCCCTTGTCGTCCCAGAAGTTGAGAGAAGGCCTGCAAATGAACAGAACCACTACCACGATTATGAGAAACCAGATTATCGTGAATATCATCAGGACCAATGAGACCATGCGGTAGCGGTCGGAGATGAAGAAGATGCGCCGATAGAAGAGCAGGATGGACATCTTGCATGCGAACTGTGCGAATGCAGCAGGCGCCAAAGCCCAGAATATCAACTGGGATGATTAGCAGAGTCGACTCTTGACGAATACAATACGGACCCGACGATAGCTTGGTAGAACTTGGGCGAACCGCGATGGTTGTCGATACATCATCTTAATCATTTCCGATTGAGACAGTCTTCCGAAAGTCATGATACTCGCTGTAAAGATTAGTAAGTTTGCTTAGTCGGAAAATTAAGAGACTTGCCATGTATCGCCACTCCGGCTGCAGTATAGTATAGCATCAACGCGGCCATGATACACCAGTCATCTATCCGAACGCCTTGGTTATACCGGATTTTACAGAAGATCCGGAGGGCGACTGCAAGTCCAGCTATTAGGCAGCAAATTACGTGCGCATCGGCTAGTAGTCCGTTGTATTTGCTGAGTCCGAATATCATGGCGCCAGAGAAACCTAGGAAGTGCGCCTGGTGATGATGGTACCGTGACTTTTATCCAAGTAGCAAGATCCAATCGAATAACGCCAATGGGTGTGTTGAGGTAGTTGTTGAGAGGCGATATGTGAGTCGGCAGATAAGTGACTATCGTGACAATTGTGGCGAAACAAGGAGACTATTTCTTGTAATTTCCGCAGGCTAGCTTGTGTTCTCACGCGACTGGTCAGACTGTCAGGGTCCAAGAGCACTCATCAAATGGAAGATGGACCGCCTCGTTTGCTACCGAGGAGCTATTTCACCGTGACAGATGAGAGGTGAAAGGAACAGCGAACACTAGCGCCAAGCACGTACAGTAGCCTACATCGAAGCTGGAAGCACTCTACATTCGCATCGATGACATGACGTAAACGCTTGACTTGAGGCGGTTGATCAAGTCCCTAGCCAGGACGAAAAACATGTCCAGCGAAGGAGCTAACACCGTCTTACAGAAAGTGGGGTTGATTTCACCAAGTATATCGATTCCACTCAGATGATGGGGCTCAGCTACACAAGAATGGGTAATAGGCAAGGTGAAGTGGTGCAGATGGATATGAGAGAGACGTGAGATGAGGCAACACATGGAGGCTGGAAGACGATACGCCAACCGAGAAAGAGAATATACAACGTAGGCACATGCATGAGAGCGACAGACGGGGACACATACACGAAGATGGTCAAACTAACAAAAATGGATATACGAACCGAACCCCAACGCCACCCGATATTTGGTCCCGAATATGCTGTTACTACAAGAATCTACTCGCTCAAAACACGCTGATGTAGTTGCCGATGCGCTCCTTCTGGTTCTGCGCAATGCACTCGGCTATCCAGGTAATGTTTCGGATCTCCTGCAGATGCTGTTAGTATCAAATCCGATCCATGATGGCTTTCGGTGACAACGTACTTGTTCGCGCAGCTTTACCCATGCGTATACAATGGCGTGGGTGAATTGGTGGGTGAATGCGAGCTTTGAAATCTCCATCTCCTTTTGGTAGAAAAGATCTTCCAAACTCCTCGATTCACCACCAACGCCACCTGACATGTTACCTACACCACCACCACCGCCGCTGAGGCCCGTCTGGTCAAAGAACATTTTGTAGTCGGCGACACTCTCGACAGCGATGCGTACACCTTCCACATCGTCGGCTCTCGAGAGCATCAGCGTGCCCTCTGGGTACAGCTTCCCAAGGTTAGGGTAGAGCTTCTTCCTGTCGGCCTTGGAGAGTTCGGTCCCGAATGAGTTCAGAGAGATGTTGATGCTCCTGCGGTCGGCCTCGAACTCAAGCACCTCTGACATGACATCTGCAGTCGGTGTTCCGGCAATGTCCGAGGCTGAGTTGACAAACTCGTGGAAGTCCTCCAGGTAGTTCTTGTACAGCGTGTTGCGGATAATCTCAATGTTGAGTTCGTCGAGGTCCTGGTGGCTGAGGGAACCCTTGAAGTAGGGCGCAAGCGGGGTTTCGATCAAGACAGAGTTGTACAATTCTTCGATGTTGGTCGCCACGCACAGCACAGGCATAGTCTCGAACCAGCCAAGCGGATGGCACCTCTCGAGCAACTCCCGAGTATCCCTCTCATGCAGCGTACCGGTAATCAGTAGCGCAACGTTGTCGATCATGTATCCATATGTAAGATACTCCATGAATTTGGCGAGAGAGCCGGTGGCGTTGGCCTGGAGGTAGCGGAACTCGGCTACGAGCTTGTCGGTCGTCTTCGCGGCAAGGGCGGACGTCGATGGGTTCGGGGGCAAGGAGTTGAGAAAGTCGCCATATGCGGGGGATAGTTGCAGCTTGACATCTACGCGACCGTCAGTTCAAGGACGGGGAAGTTGCGACTGGATCTGATGTACCGTCGATGGTCTCGCACTGGGTCAAGTTGCTGTAGTTCTGGCTGGTGAGCAGCGCGTTGCGGTAGCCGCGCACGATGCCCTCGATGTAGCTGTGTAAACATGTTAGATGCGCCGGGAACAAGCAAGATGACCAGATGCATACCCGTATTTGACGTTGTAGTAGAGGCCCTCCATGATGCTGATATTGTCTGCGGTTCTGGTGTTGCAGGCACAGAGCTCCAGCTTGGTCGTCATGCCAAGGCGTGGCCCGTGTCGCGCCTTCCGAGCTGGGGTGTTTATGCACTAGCGTCAATCCCGGAGCGGCAGTGACAACTTTCTTAAGTCCATCGTCACTTCCTCAACAGCGCACACGGTATCCACAACCATCCCATCATACTCCAAGCAGTTGCATTTCGCATCCAGTCATCTCCAAATCGCTGACAATTGCATCGCAACTGCCTTGTAAGTCCCTGCAACTGCTGCGCATCACTCACACTAACCTCGTTCGCAGCACCATGTCCACTGCTACTCGGCGCTCAACGCGTCGCGCGGCGGCTGCGGCAGCCTCTGTTGAGCCCGCACCGCCTGCACCCGAGCGAAGCGCATCGGAAGAAACCCCCCCACCAGAGCCGTCCAAGAAGCGAGGTCGCAAGCCCAAGGCTGCATCTACAAAGGTCGAGTCGCAGACCGTGACAGAACAGACAGTGACCAAGGCCCGCGCTACGTCACGCGCAAGCCAAACACCCGCAACTACGGCAACCAAGAAATCAACAACAACAACAACATCGGCCACTGTCACCACGACGCCAGCTCCTGTTGTCACTAAGCGGACCAGGGCTGGTCGCGCCAAGGTAGTGGAAGCAGGGGGAGAAGCCTCACCACAACGCAGCCTAGACGTGACTAGGCCTGTAAAGCGCATTCGTGGTGCAAGCCAACAGAAGGTGGCCTCTGACAAACGCAAGTCGGTGTCTTCAGTAGCAGCATCAGTGAATGACGAGAACGAGGATGAAGACGACGATGAGGATGAGGGTCTGTTCTTCAAGAAGAGTAAGCGCCGATTCCATTCCAGATTTCGTTTCGCCTCCATCGATGAGGAGACAGCCCCCAGCGACACTAAAATGGACGCGCCAGAGAGTAGTGCGATTCATAAAGAGGTTGATCTTCTTCGTGTGCGCGTGACAGACTTGGAGGCTCTCAATCAGAGCCTTACAGAGTTGCTCCTTGAGAAGGACACGCACCTGTTTGAGTATGAGAACGAGAACCTTCGCCTCAAGCACCAGGTTGAGCACCAAAATGAGTTGATTGCGCGCCTGCAAGGAAACTCGCGTCTGCAAAGTCCTTTGAACATTAGCTACGGTACACCGGCTAACACCTATGTTTCAGAATTCGACCGTGAACTTGTAGCTGTGACTGAGTCTCCACCAGCGCAGCCCGTCTTCGTGAACGGTACTGAGTCCGCCCTTGCGCTTCTCCACAAAATTGAGAATGCGGCGAAAGAGACGGTACGTGTCGAATCGCTCAACCGAGAGAGTGAGGCACGTCCAGATGAGGTCACGGAGCCCTCACTGCAGCAGTCCCCACAGCAATCCGTACCACAATCCGCCAAGAGGTCTTTCACTGAAGCTTCAGCCACACCTGATCGACCCGTTGCGACGCCCTCCAACATTTTTAGCAGATCCTTCACAGCCATCAAGTCCCGCCTCTTCTCCTCAACCCCTAAACCATCACCCTCTCCACAGGCCCCTTCTCCTCCAACTGCTAAGCCCCTACCACCCCCGAACACCTACACAGAGATCTTGTCCACCCCACCCACCCCTATTGGTGAACGTGTCAAGACGCCGAAGAGGCGCACGCCTAACAACGGCATGATGAAAGTGCTGCTGAAGGGCATCGAACCAGGAGATAAGCGCAAGGCTGAAGAATGGGCCAAACAAGTCATTCCAGAACTGATGAATGACCCCAACTACAAAGAGAAGCGCATGCGCCTGCAGGGAACTGTTCTCTTCCAGGATCTGATACACTTTCCATCTTCCAAACCCTGGGAAACTGGCTTTGGTGATCCGCTTGGCGATCTGGATGATGAAGATCCAGTCCCAGCCTGGGCCATCTATCTGGACATGAAAGCCGAGGAGGTCGAACACAAACCTAAGAGAACCAAGAAGAGTCACCGATCCAGTATGGACAGTGAGGATATCCCCACGATTGATGAGCAGTACGCCGCCAGCAACAGCGCGCATACGCCCCCAAAGCTGTACAACAGCCATGGTCAGAGCGCATCCCTCTATGACTACCGCCCGCGCCGTGCCATTGACCCCTCACCCCTGTTCTCCAATTCCGTTTCCCACAATGAAGGTGGTAACCTCTTCCGCGAGCTTCATGGTCACGAGTCTGCAGCACAGATGCGTGAGAATGATCGTGAAATCCTCAGGAAGGCGGACGCAGCCAAGAGTCCTGTCAAGGTGAAGACACCCCCACACAACCCTGACGGTGGCTCCTTCAGTGCCTCCTTTGAGTATTCCGACGACGACGACGACGACGACGACGACGATTCCAACGCGGACGGCGAAACCTCCGATGCTGAAGCCGCTCCCATTTGGACCCAGCCGCCCCCACCTGCCCCTGTCCCCGCACACGCTCCACTCCCAGGAGGACCCTCAGCTGAGACGCCATCTGCCCCTGTCTCTGATGTCCCTCCCACCCCTGCCGGTCAGCAACCAGTAGCGGAGGTTGAGCGCCAACGCCAGAGGCTCATGAAGCATACACCTGCCAAGCCTTCTCGTCTTCGCGAAGCTACCTATCCTTCACCTAGCGTTTTCTCAGACGCTGGCATCCCGTCGCCTTTGACCACTCCTGCCCATCTCACTGATTCGGTAGCTTCCATGTTCGCCGATATGCCAGCAGCGCAGCCCATCGAGCTTGACGAAGAAGAGCAGGCTGACTACAATGCGCTCATTCAGACTGCCGGATTCAAGCAGCTGCTTGCTAAAGACTGGCCAGCCGCCACCCTCACCTACGAGTCTGAGGAGGAAGAGCTGAGCCCGACCTCTGCCTAAGGGCAACTTTTGCATCATCACGGCGTTTTCACATGCCAGTCATGATTGGACTGGGTTTGAATAGGTTAGAAGCTCCGTCTTTGGGCTTGTCTATATTTTTGTGTTGCTTTTATTGTTTGCATAGCATTGCGTTGGCTTGACCATTGTAGGATATGGTCCCCTGTTTTACTTTCTCCACTTGCTGGCGTTTATCGGGGCACCAAAATTGATGATTCATGAGCTGTATACCCCTCACGGCCTCACGTGGCCGTACACTGTAGGCGCATGGTTAGCCTAGCATAGCGATTCTTTCTTGCTTCTTTCTTGTATCACCTAGTTGCGTGTTTGAACAGCTTTAATATCGACTGAATGCTTTTCCGCTTTGATGCATATTTATTGAGATTCTTGTTTATGTTGTTGGAGTCATCCTCCAGAACTGGATGAACGAAAGTCGAAGAAGCACAGGATTCATTACTTAATTGCAAAGCAGACTAGGAAACGATTCGTTGCACGATTGTCGAGTGACTCTTGCGTTTGAAGTTAGCTGACAGTCGTCTTTCGTTGAGAGTTCATGACGGGAAGTGAGTGGCATGGACTAATAATGACTCATTCGTGGCTTGAAAGCGCCTGCGCCTCACATTAAGCTGCACGTGACTTTGTTCTGCGTAACCACAAACCTTCTGGGAATACTATATGTTATATAGGCCTCATGATATTTTCATTCCATAACCCAAGTTTCCTATCTTTACGGCCTCAGATCAGAGGCGCAGTCACTTCCTCTACTACACCAAACTACACCAAACACCACTACAACACAAAGAACGAACAAAGCAACTTCATTATGGCTTCAGAACCGCGAACAGTGTTCCCATGTAACACTTGTTCTCTTAATTTCCCATGCAGTGCGCTTCAGCGGTCGCATATGCAACAGCCTTGGCAGTAAGAAACAGCACTACGGCCAAGCCGTTACTCTTACGGGCCATAGCTAATAATGTGTAGTGTATACAACCTGAGACAGAAGGTAGCTGGAAATCATGTCATCTCAGAAGAAGAATACAATACCTTACACATCGCGACCCAAAAGACGAGTCGACATCGCCCGGAACTCCTCGACTCCGTAGAGCGCATGGAGAAAAGAGGAGCTAGGATTGTATCTAAGCGTGATGTGGGAGCCATATCTCAGTCCTCGGTTAAAGAGAAGGGTGCAAAGACTAAAGCGGCGAACCATGACCCAGTACCAGATCTAAGTCCGGGTACACAATGTCTTTTCTGCCTCAACAGCTTGCCATCCCCTGTCGAGAGCGTACACCACATGTCAGTAACTCACGGCCTCTTCATTCCAAGGTTAGATCGCATTGTCGACTTGGAGTGCTTTTTGTCATATCTCGGGGTTCTAGTCTACGAATGTAGAGAGTGTGTGTACTGTGGGACTGGGAAGAACACTGTGCAAGCTGTGCAGACGCATATGCGGGATAAAGGACATTGTAAAATTGATATGGGTGAATTGAGTGATTTTTGGGAAGATGATGAAGAAGAAAGTGGAAATGAAGAACAAGAAGAAGAAGAAGACGCTGGAGTTTCGACAACGGGACTCAAGCCCTCAAGCACAGCGAGGCATATTCCCATAAGACGCCGGCCTTCCTCCTCGAATACAGCACTCACACAACTCACCCAAACGCAAAAATCAAGCCTCACTTCCTCTTCTACCAAACACACTCAACACCAGAGCACCAACAGAGCAGAGCCTCTCGACACCACTGTCGACACCTCCTGCCATCAAACCAACATCACTCCTTCATCCCGCGACCTCACGAAAAGCAGTCGTGACCTTGCCAATCTCAATCTGTCACTCTCCCAACTTCGCACCCTAGCCACGCTGGAGCGAAGGATGAAGACGCAGGAAACGACTGCTCGAGCAAGAATCCAACATAAAGCTGAACGACAACCGGTAAAATCTGTGTATTATAAGACCGCGAACCCTGTGTATCAGGCTGGATGAGGGGACTAAACTATGGTTTCGGTTTATCAGGGTGAAGAGGTCTTGATGGACACAACGCCATCTTTAGAAATGGTATCTCCTGTAGCAGACCCACTACCAACCCCACAATCACTTCGCTACAACGATTTCCTAGATACCTACACAAACATTGTGCAAACATCATACCATCCAAACCCACTAGCAACGTTTCCTCACAACCTCACCACAATTGTCACACAGTGCCCTCATCTACTGCGCCACTGTCAACTCACCACAGTGACGTCCGTCGACTATACAATCTCGTGCATAACTCTCCTCCGCTCAACATAAAACATCTTAACAAAGAATCATTCCAAGAACAGCCACTAACTCAATTCTTTCCAGATTCTTTGCAAAAATGTACCTGACAAAGACAGTGCAGAAGACAAACGCGATATTGAGCAAGCTTCCGCATCAACGGGGCCACCAACGCCCCAGCAGCGCTACAACTGCTTCTACAGTTAGCAGCTCTGCCCAGGGAACTTATCCTCCCCCTCCATCGCCACCGCCATCTAATCACCGTCACTCCAGCAGCTCCACCACACGTCGCACACGACACCCACCGCTGATGCCCCCACAGGACGACAAACACGATCTGAGCAACTTAATCGACGAGCACATCGCCTGGACCCAAGGCACAGCCGCCCGCCCCCGACGAGGCAGCCAAGGAACCATGATTGTAGATTGGGATGGAACAGGTACACCAGTTGTAACCTATCGAAACCGCGGAGGAGTCGACGACCAAGTCAAGGAAAATCGTACCTCCAAACCACTTCCAGCCCCCCTCAACATCAAGCCCCTACCCGACCTCCCCTTGACAGCCCATTACCACTCGCCCCGCTTCTCCCCTACCACGCAAACCCACCACGCGCCCTACGTCGCCGGCTACGACGCCCAAACGCACTTATCCTACGACTACGACGGCCGCATTGTACACGTGCATCGTAGTAGCGGCCATGAGCATGACAAGTCTGCTGCGCGTTTATCCGCACATTCGGATTATTATGCCATGGATTTAGACAGGTATACGCGTGGGATTGAGGTGCGGGTCAAAGAGGGGGATGCGAAGAAGAAGAATGGGAGTGGTGTGGGCAGGTTTGTGGAAAAGGTGTTGGATAAGCTTGAGGGAATGGGGTTGTTGGATCGGTTGCGTAGGGATAGGAAGACGGTGGCGGTTGCGAGTAAGGGGAAGGGGAAGGCTCGTGATGTTTGAGTAGGAGAGGGGAAAGGCAAGTCGATAGAATAATATAAGAAAACAAAACAAAACAAAACTTTAAATATATCAAGCGCCACCTAAGTAACCTGAAGCATTCAACAGTGACAGTGGAGATAAATCCCGCTATGCTAATTCCTAATACGCGTAGTTATCTGGCGCTTGAAGTTAGCTTGTGTTATCAAGCTATTCCACATCACCCAAGTGCAATAGAAGATAAAAGTAGAGATCTGTCATTGTAAACGGCGAGTCAAAACGCCTCAAACCATCTTTGCAAATTAAGTACACACTACACCCCCATTCCATAGCCTTTCTGTATGCCTTTATCCTCAGTCCACGACATGGAGGCCAAGCTAATCCATGTTTTATTACCACGACCCCATTAACCCCACCCTCCGTCTACCTCCCACCGTTACCGGCCCAACCCCCACCAAACACAACTCACACGAGATGCATATGAGCAAGAAATGACGCAACAGATTTGCTACGGAACATGTCACACAAAAGGAAAATGGTATAGACCAAAAGGCACAAACTCCGTGACGAACAATGAATATGTAGGAAGGGGAAGAGCACACACGGCGCACGGGTCCCCCGGGTATTACCAAGCCAAAAAGACCATCTCAAGGGGAGAGATGGCCTAGACATGCGGAGATGGAAACGACGATCCATCTAATGCTTGCTGGACAGCTTGTCCTTGAGCTTGCCGAAGAATGAGCGACGCTTCTTCTTCTTGTCGTCGGTGCCTGAGACGATGCTCTGGCTACCAGGAGTGCCCTTGGGAGAGATGTTCGAGTCTCTCCTTGGGTCGTGCTTGGGGGCCTCTGGTGACAGCTGTGCAGACGGTGCCGAGGTGGTGGCCTCTGTGTTGGTAGTCTCTACACCAGTAGTGACGGTGGGCTGGGTTTGCTCAGTGGTAGTTGGCTCCTTTGCCTTGCCGAAATCAACATCGGTGGTGGAGTCGATGGGCTTGGAAGTTGGCAGCTGAGCAGGCTCTGATGCAGGCGCGTTAAGAGCATCTGGCTCACTGGAAGACTTGAGGGGCTTGGAGTCGACGAGTGCCTCATCAGAGAGACCAGCAGCGTCCTGGCTACCCACAACGGCAGCACTGGGAGCTGGCTCACCGGTAGCCTCGACAGACTTGACCTCGTTGAGAAGTTCAGTCTCCATAGCCCTCTTGTCCTCAACGGCCTCGGCATTAGCAGCAGCCTCTGGGCTGGCATGAGCCTCTTTCTGGCTCTCTGCTACGACCTCGGGTACTTCGCTGGCAGCGGCCTCGGTGGCCGCAGCAGGAGCAGTCTCCGTGGTTGCAGCGGTGGTGACAGGCGCTGGCTCACCGGCTTCCTCAGACTTGGGAAGCTTCTCGAGCAGCTCAGACTCTACGGCAGCCTTCTCTGTGACGGCTTCACTGTTGGCAGCCGCCTCGGGGCTAGCGTGTGCCTCGTGTTGGCTCTCGGCAACAACCTCTGGGACCTCAGGAGCAACGGCCTCTGAAGTAGCGAGAGGAGCAGTCTCTGTGGTCGCAGCTGTGACTGCCGGCGCGGGTTCGCCTGCCTCGTTGGCCTTGGGAATCTCACTCAGTAGCTCAGACTCCATAGCCTTCTTCTCGGCGACGGCCTCTGGGTTGGAGGCTGCCTCGGGGCTTACGTGCGCCTCGTTCTGGCTGTCAGAGACAACAGCGGGGACGGCAATGGCCGGAGCTGGCGAGCCGGTCTCGTTGGTCTTGGGGACCTCGCTGAGCAATTCCTGCTCCATGGCCGACTTCTCTGCAACAACCTCGGGGCTAGCTGCCGCCTCTGGCTCAGCATGGCTAACGTTCTGGCTCTCGGCGACTACTGAAGGCACCTCGTCCGCAGTAGATGTGCTTGGGCCGTTCATGGCACCGTTCATACCAGTAGCCTCGGCAGCCTTGTCCTTGGCAGCGTAGATGGCAGCGGCAAAAGCGCCCGCACCTGCAGTAGCAGCAGCAGCCGCGGTAGCAGCCGCAGCACCAGCGTTGTCGGTGATGGTAGCGTCTTGGCTTGTGACAGGCGCCTCGGGAACCGTCTCCTTGAGCTCTTGCTCGACTTCCTTCTTGTCCTGGACAGCGTCTACGTTGGCGGACGCCTCGGGGTCAACGTGAGCTTCTTTTTGGCTCTCTGTCACAGTCTCGGGAACGGCACGGGGCTCCAGGGGAACCTGGGCAGCGAGTTGGGCAGTCGTGCTCTCAGGGGCAGACGACTGGATGGTGACGCCGGTGTCCTGCTCAACCTTTGCATCAACGCCCATTGGCAGGCTGGACTCGGGGATCATGGTGCCCATGACGGGTGGGATGCCGAACATACCACCCTTGGCATCGCGCTCGGCTTGGGGAGTGAATGCAAGAGGGGGGAGGGCATCCGACTTCTCGTAGGAAGAGGCATCAGTGTTGACAGTGCTCTCGACAGTGTTGGAGGTGAGGGTGCTCGCATCAGGCACCTTCTCGCCAGGCTCAAGGTGGATTGGGTTTCCCGCGCCAGCAGTAGCTGGGATAGGCGCAACGCCGAATGTCTCTGCCTCCTTTTCAGGCTCAGGCTTGACAGTCGAGTCGACCGTGTTCTCTGTCAGGGTGCTTGCCTCGGGGACAGGCTCGCCAGGCGCCAACTTGATGGGGTTGCCGAGACCAGAAGTAGTGGGGATGGGGGCGACGTTGAAAGTCTGCGGTTCACTGCCGGGAGTCTCTGCGAATGGTGTCTCGGGGAAAGCGCCAGGCAGGGAAGAGTTTGAGGTGTTCTTCTCGCTCTCCTTGGGCACCTCGCCCGCAAGCGCAGCGGTTGTCGACTCGGGCGCAGCAGAAGACATGGTGCTGACGGGCTCCTCGTCGACGATGTCTTCGGGGTAGAGGACGTTGTTGATTATGCCGTGGCCGTCGTCTTCTTTGCGCGCGCTGTCATTGGTACACCAGTTGCCATTTACGACAAACTGACAGTGGAGTTAGCAAAGTCTGCGCAAACAGGCAGGCAACATGGTGCACTGTAGGGGTGCCGAGAATCCGAGGATTGCATACCTTGTACTGAGTGTGGACTTGAGGCAGCTCGACAGTCTTTTTGAAGACGCCATCCTCTGCCTTTTCGAGCTTGACTGTCTTCCTCCAGTCGTCAAAGGTGCCAGTCACGTAGACCTCATTGGCGGAATGTTCCCTATGCGCAAGTAAGCAGGTGCGATGCGCATGGGCGGTAGGCGCAAAGATACCAGGTGAAAGTATATTTGCCCATGTCAGCGCAGCAATAGACGCGTTTCAGGTGTCGTCGGAAAAGTAAGACGTGTCTTGGGGCGCAACGAGAAGTAGCTGTAGAGGTGGTTGGTGAGCAGAGTCAGGAGCTGCCTTTGGGGTGGAGCTAGCAGGCCGCAGTGCGCGCTCGGACAAAGTGGGACGTGAGAAGCTTGCAGCTATCAGGCTCGCTCGACTGACAGAGGCTCGGAGCGAGTTTATGCGCGCTCGCTGAAGACTAAGAGGGGTGAAGGACTTTTGAATTGGCGAGGCTGGACGGCGGCTCACGACATGCACTTGGTCTGCACGAGTTGAGACGGCGCCGTTGGCGACACGATAGCTTGGCGGGATGCGGTTCATGGCGAGGCCTGCAACCGTGGGCGGCATGTGCAATGACGAAATCAGACGAAACCACGACTCTAACCGGTTCAATTGCTGAAAATCTTGACCATGCGCAGGCTAACGACAATTATGGAAATATGCCGTGCATACAATTCGTGTTGGTCTCCCGCAAAAAAGCTACATCATGGCCCCTCCAGCTCCCAGCTCCCAGCCCCCAGCCCTGTGCTCCCAGCTCCCCTGGCTCGCGTGCTGCGTGCCTGTGGTGAGGTGCGTCATCGCTTTCTTTGTCGCAGCCCATGTTGACCCATGTTGACCCATGTTGACCCATGTTGACCCATGTTGAATGATCATGTGAACAGGAGCAGGAACAGTGAACAGTTGTTGTCGCAGTCGATTATCCAATCCAGCTGGGTAAACAATCCCGTCATACGAGGTCTCCAGGAACTCTGCCTATCCATCCGGATCCGAGACTTCCAAGGTTGCTGCTCTCCCGCACCACCGCGCGTCTCAACACATTCACCGCATCGCCGCGCCATGTTGATTTGTGCCTCACCGCCAGTTGTGCCTACGCCATCCTTCACATCTTCATAATGCACATGTCTCGGCGAGATGGGGAAGCGCGGAAGTCTGTCCGCCAATCTCTTGCTATAGTAATGTCGGAGATGATCATGCCCGTCGTCGTATGGTCGGACGTGACTTTGGCGGTTGCCCGCAGGGGGTACGGGCTTGAGGTGTTTGACGGCCACCTACCATGCTATCATGACTGCGACATGTGAATCATGGGATGGATTGACTCGTTCTCTCTATGCCCATGGTATGTTGTACAGTAGTGATGAACCCCTTCTCACCATTAGCGTATCGTCACGTGCCGTCCAACAGCCCGTGATGCGGGAGCTAAAGCACACATCTGGCCTCGTATCAAACTGTCGCAGTGTTGGAGCTCTTGCAGCTACCAGAAGCTCTCGCAACAACATGGCCCATCCGAGTCACAGCATCGCGATGCAGCCGTGTGACGGCGTGGCATCCAATTGCGTCAAGGATGGCAGCGCCTGATGTCGCAGTTGCAGTGGGTGCCTACAGCTTGAGCGTGTTTCTAGAGGCCTTCTGGAAGATAATAAGCCCCCGGAAGCGTGCCTTGATCCTTACTGCATTGCCCGCACATCCCACCCGTGATCCTTCCTCTCTCTAGTTGGTCCCCTCTTCCTGCCTCCATCCCCCCCGGTGCGCCACTACTGCGCTCCTAAGCTTTGCGAACAACGTCAGCTTCCAACGTGCAATTGCTCATACTCGAAAACTATCCAGCTGCTCATATCTCCGTCCTCATTGCGTTGACGCTACGTGAGGACCCTCGCAGCGCAACCGCTTCCATCCCTGCACGTCTCGCGACCGACGTCAAAGAGCTGCGCTCGACCCCTCATCACCGCCGCCCTCATGTCCCTCCCTCCCGACTATTCCAACGAGATCGCCACCCTCGACCGCGAAGTCTTGAAGCACAGGCCCCAGGACATTCTCCAATTCTGTGCCAATTTCTTCAACCGCCGCCTCGAGTCGCAGCGAACAGAGTATCTGCTGTCGCAACAGCATTCCTACCAACAGGGCCGTGCTGAGAACAGCTTCCCGGGCAACAACCCCTTTAGCACCTCACCCAGCGCTGGCAGCGGTTTCACAAAAAGCACAATGCAGCGTCTCGAAGAAGAGGAGGAGCATGACATGATGACGTCCCCCACAGCTTCCACCTTCGGGCACGTCGACTTTAGCAGGCCCCGCCCCAGCAACAACGACGACAATGGCCCAAGTGCCTTTGGCAACTTTGGTGGCTTCGGCGGCTCGTCCAAGAACAACATCACGCAGATGCCGCCCCTGACGGGTGAAGGCCAGAACTTCCCCAGCAACTACAACACCAACAGGCGCACCTCTGTTTCAGCAGAGTCGCTCAACCCTACCTCGAGCTCGGCCGACAACTTCACCCCGCCATTCCACCAGAAGACACAGGACCAGCTATCTCGCCTCAAGTCTGCTGTCTCGGGCAACTTCCTCTTCTCACATCTCGATGACGACCAGTCGTCCATGGTGCTTGGCGCGCTGCACGAGAAGCCGATACCAACAAAGGGCATAAAGGTCATCCAGCAGGGCGACGTGGGAGACTACTTCTACGTCGTTGAACGGGGCTCGTTTGACATCTTTGTCAACCCCTCAGGCAAGCTCGAAGCTGGCCCAGACGGTCTCGGAAACAAAGTGGGCACTGTTGGATCTGGAGGTTCCTTTGGTGAGCTGGCTCTCATGTACAACGCGCCCCGTGCTGCAACCGTTACTTCAATCGAGCCCTCTACGCTTTGGGCGCTAGATCGCATTACGTTCCGTCGTATTCTCATGGACAGCGCCTTCCAACGCCGACGCATGTACGAGGGCTTCCTTGAGGAAGTCCCTCTCCTGTCGACCCTGACGCCCTACGAGCGTTCCAAGATTGCGGATGCACTCGAGACCAAGAAATACCCTCCTGGAACAACCATCATCCAAGAAGGCGATGTCGGCGAATCCTTCTTCCTACTGGAGTCTGGTGAGGCGCAGGTGTTTAAGCGTGGCATAGATAGCGCTGTCAGGGAATACCACAAGGGCGACTACTTTGGTGAGCTGGCATTGCTCAACGATGCGCCCCGTGCCGCCTCGGTTGTTAGCAAGACAGAGGTCAAGGTTGCGACTCTCGGAAAGAATGGCTTCCAGCGACTGCTTGGACCCGTCGAAGGCATTATGAGGAGGAACGACCCCAGCAAGGCTGCGTTCGAAAGCGATCACGTGGATCCGCTACAGCAGATGGAAACCTCATGAGTGTTACACAACAAGGATGCAGAGCGAGAATTGCTACACCTTGTATGGATTTGAGTTGCAAAGTTATGGACGAACCGGAGCATGGGCTGTGCCTCTGGACAAGTGCGGCTCGGTTCCTCTTAGGCTTTTTCGCGTGTCTTTCTACACTTCCTACTGTCACTTAACGTCGCTTGCCGTGATTCAAGCACGGCTTGTGAGGAAGGAGGCGCAGTTGTGGGCCGCTCGGTTACCTATACTCGATTGCGTATGATACTCATGGTTTAGACTCATATTTCTATGCTTTTCTTTGCAACACCGCAACATGCAACAACGTGACGTCCTGTTTATTTCCCTCACTGCCTCCACCCAACCAAGCGACTTCCGGTCAACTCGACGTATAATTTCTTTTGACGTGCCTGCCTCCGAACGTTATGGGGCCTGCCAAGGTGACGTGCTTGTTGCGGCCTGTGCTTCTTCGGTAGTCAGTGCCTGTTGCGAATCGCGCTTTCCCTTAACCACCACGGGTGTGAACTTCACGTCACTCATCTCCTTCGGCAACGTCAGAGTATTTCCGTTGAAAGTAAAAAGTACGATTCGATACGAACATCAGATTTGCAGGCGGTCCTGACGGAGGTCACGATCTCCTGTCCACACCTGAGATGATCGACATACATAGTCATCGGATTGTGGCGACGTATTCGCCGCCAGATTACTACGCGCGTCCTAGTGCCCTTGGATTAATGTAGATACGAGTAAGTCTTTACGGAAATACAACTCAATGGGGTCATCTACTAACAGATTTCAGACGCCCGATCGTGAGCTCGCGCTAAAATCACTACCCGTTCACGTTGTCGGCTTCATAGGACGATGCTCTGCTTCTCTTGGCTTTTTCCTTGTCACTTAACCCTGCATACAGCCGATGCCACATACTTCATAGCCTTGTGCGAGACATACAATGACTTCGACGACGATCTGCCGCGGCTATTCGAAACGACACTTTTTGTCGTGCAGATTCTGTGACTCCATTGCGCATAAAGACGGCCACTCCGAATGCTGCCTGCCAATCTTACACTTCATCGTCACCAAACATCGCCGCAGCTCAATTGAGGCATCATCATAATGCTTCTTCATATGCTTTTCTGGGCAAGCTACTCGCCATCGACAGTCACAGCCACTCTTTGTATGACAATCATGTGGCTAGTGAAACATGTCGTGCAAGGCCTTGGGCGGAATATCTCGCTGACGATACACGGTAGCAGGCGCGCTTAGCTGATGTATTGTGTTCACAACTATCCCTGGGTCTCACATGACGTACTTGGCGTATAGCTTTCCCGTTCAGCTGACGATAGGGCAAAGCAATACTAAGTCGGTCTCCAGATTAAACAGCGACCCAATAGCCGAAAGCTGTACCATCTCTCATTGCACACGCCTGCGGCTTATATGCATGACCGGGGTATAATGAGACGCTAGGACTAAGTTGGGTAAATGGGTTCATTAGCCGCAAACATGCCAGTCCGCTTGAAACGGTGATTTGGTATGTTTGCAAAGTCAACTGGCAGCGAGGATGAGGATGATCATTGGGTGAACTCCCTAGTAGGTGATTCGAACTGACATCGGGCGTATGGTGGCCCCGTTACAGAACTAGTACACCCCACAGGGCTGTGGTAGAGAGTCTTGGCTATGGTAGCGGTCTGTATCTGCTGTCTGGCATACCCACATCCCGGTGCTCGGGTGTCAATCAGTGCACCAGCCACACACACTAACTCGAGGCCGCTTCTTCCCCCGACATACTACGGACCGGGAGTGTAGAGGTGCATATCGGCCCCCTATCGGAACAGTGAGCCCTCACCGCATTCGCCAGAACAGGCGACCGTACTCCGATGATTGTCATCTTCTCATCATGAACTACGGGACCGTAGAGCCGGCGTGCGCGATGCACAGTTAAACAAGAGTGATGTACATCCACCTTTGCTACCATCTGCTGCGTTCCTGATCCCTACCGCCGGTGTGCTTTGAGGCGAGGGTTCCCTGAGATATGTCTTCCGAACCAACGTTGCAGTACGATGGTCGAATCACGACTCGGCAACCCAGACCCTGTCGACATTCCACCGCCTGTCACCATTGTGGCTGTGGTTCGTGGTTTCAGGGAAGCCTAGCAATCCGTCGAAGCACTCCGTTCGGTACCTGCGTCTTACGTTGTCATTGTTGCAACCACCTACACAAGTTGAACATCCGCTGTCCATCACTTGATGGGACTACATAATGAAGCTCGCATCATCATCGTCATTTGCCCCAACCTGCCCCAACCTTTTCACATCCTCTTCGATCGTTTCCATCCGGTATGGCTTCTCCAAGCGAATCAAGGCCCACGAAAGGAAGACCCGGGCGTCGTCGCCTTCCACGTCTCGCCCAAGGGCCCTCATTGCAGTTTGTCACTGCCACTCATCCAGACGATTTTAGAGCTGGGGAGGTTATGAGGAATATACGATCACACGTCATGTACAAACATCGAGAGAACAGTGGATCCTCGCCCACGGACTTGGGCAGCAGCCGGAGAGGCCCACGTAATACGACACATTCCTCAAGCCTGACAAGAACTGGCTCAACTACCATGAGGCAGTACGATACCAGCTGGGGGCGGGATTCCCACGATGTCCAGACTCCTTCGCCGTCCACAAATCCGGTGCGAAGGCTTGCTGCTCAGATACTTACCGGAGCAAGATCAGTGCCTACTCGCAGCGCGTCCCCGATTTGCGAAAGGGCTTCTGAATACCCGTTTCCAGCCCGCGACACAATGAGCCCTGGGCCCCTAGAGGACTTGAAGCACAACTGGATCGCCACCACCGCCTTCTTCTGCCACAGTAAGTAACTTGTACATGTTCACCACCATGTGCTGACACAATAGATCAAACGTGGATGAGATATGTCTGCGACAACTATCTGTCATTCCTCAGTCATGTGCATGCCTCCTTGGTCTATCAGGATCTCGATGAAGGGTTGCTCTATGATAGCGAGCTCACTGTATATGGCAAGACTATGATATTGAGACTGGTAAGCGACGGACTGGACACAGATGATGCTACCATTATCAGTATACTACATCTTCTCATCAGCGAACTTGGTGGTCTTAACGAAGATGTATTCAACCTACATCAAGAAGGCCTAGCAACATGTTTGAGGAACTCGAGGGCTGGACTGAGCACCAACGTTGAGACATTCATGACCTTGTAGGTGACAACCAGATTGGCAAGTGTATCAGACTAACATCATGTAGGGTTATGCTTACCTTTGCCATATCAAGAGGACGACCCGAATCAGCAGAACTCACCCCACGGCCATCCGCTGAAGCCTGGTCCGATACTGCCAGCCCGATCTCTCCACTATCTACCCCTTTGGAAAATGTTCCACGATTATACCGTGGATGCTCCGCTGGCACGAGTGAGATTGTGAATAATATGCAAAGATGCACGCACACTTTTCTAGCACGTTGGAACCAGGTGGACGGCACACAACGGCGACCGGGGAGTTACGAATTACAACTCCACCACATTTACTCGCGACTTCTCTCATTGCCCTCGACAAACGCCGACCTAGCACGGGACTGGATTTACGAGAGCTGTCGCTTGGCCGCCTTGATCTATTGTCGGTCCATCATTCACGGGACAAGCTTTGCAGACTCGGCGAACACCATGTACGCAAGCACCTCTGGATCCAGGCCCGATACCTTGCTTTCAGCCCTACACGATGCTCTTGGAAGAACAGATGTACAGAATTGCTGGGGCTTTGATCTTTCAGGCGTTTTTCTATGGGTCACACTCATAGGTGCAGCGGCATCATGGTCTTTGGAGGTTCCCTGGTCCGAAGCAACGCTGCAATCCTTGCCGTGGATGAGAAAGTGTTTTGCGCTCTATGCGGTTCGCGCGGCCGTCTCGGTTCCTTTCGAGCATGCCGATACTACGATATTTGCTTTACGCACGATGCTCCAAGTTCGACGATGCCTGGCTGTCAAATCCAGACACACGATCGCTGAGCAGGCTTGATGCATTTGCGAGTCTTTTATTTCCTTTTTATCGTCATTGTTCTGCATTGTCTATGCTAAGAGGTTTCGTTCGCTGTGCGACAGGCCTGGAAGTTTTCCTTATCCCAGATCATTTCTTGCTCTTTCGCGTTGTCACGATCGCCTTTGTCTTCTACTCAAATACACACGCTCAAAAGGGATGTACACATGTTATATTAGGGCAGTGCCTGGATGTTTCCTTCTATAGTCTTCGCTGCAATCTCGGTTTTGTATTAATCACTCGGTTTTGGCGTATCTCTTGGGTACACTGCTCAAGCTAACATCATGCTGGCCATGTTACCACGACCTGTTCCGCTTCAATCGTCTTCAGTATTATTCCAATCAAGCCACTTGGAATCACGAAAACCGATTCCCAAATCTCGCCTCCGCATTAATACGAGAGAGGGCCCAGACTCCTACTATGAGACCTAGAGAAGGACCTGCATGTCATAAGGCTGAACCGCATACTCAGTTTACCGCCCGTACCGATATTTCCTACATCCCTGCCAGCCCTGCGAATCTCACAACCAATAGGTTTACTATCGGAACCAAATACTGAATTTCCCCAACCGACCATGGCTTGTGGCACGGCACGAGTCAGCTCAAACGAACCCACAGTAGCATTCCCGTCATCACACTTGGTATTCACCCGGATACACGACGCATGGCTGACAATTGGAAGTCAGCGTTGCGTGGGCTACACCGTAGTCCCAACAGAACGGATGGGGCAACTTATTCACCTCCTGCGCACTAGTATGGTACACACACACGGGCGTTAACAAGGCAGACAGATTCTAGATGCCTATCCATCAGGCAAACGTGTTGCACATGTCCACGCGGCAGCAACAAGGGCTCGTGGCGAATTGTGCCATCACAACTGCGAATCTTACATGATTCTACTCGCTTTAGGGAAGTGATTCGCCTCCCCCGTCTTCCGTCTCCTACGCTGTTGGCGGCACGCGGGTAACCGCGCTATGCATGCGAAATATTATAAGGCTGACATGGGTATTCTGTCATCCTTGTGTATGTTGGATCCTTCGCTGTTGTGTGGCGAGTGCTTATGGCTGCAGCTGCAGCCTTGTGGGGCAGAGCTTCCGCGCGGGCAGGGCGAGGCGGAGGCGGAGGCTCTTCTATGCCGTACTCGGCCTTTCTTTGCGCCTGTGACGATGGCTGTGAGACGAAATCCATGTGATGATTTACCGGTCAATGGTTTTTGTGAGTTGGTGTTCCCGGTGAGGGTTCGGACGGGCGTAGCGGAAGTAGGGAGTTATTCCCGTGGTGTTGAGGAAGTGGACTACATCAGCTTTGATGCGCCTGTAAGAGAAGATCTACAGCGTAGTTGTCGCATACACACCTTTTAAGCTCACAGGAAGCTGCGTGGAAAATCACGGTAAGCGAGTGTTGTAGATGCAGTTGCGTGGGGAGTAAGGAAGGGGTGGAGAATGCGAGTGAATCTAGCATGGTTATCCTGATATTGATACTGTTCTAACACCAATGCCCTGTGGAATCTGTACTCGTGTACCACTACTGCCATAACCATCTTCTGCTTTGCGTTGATTCCTTCCATAGTGTAGCGACTACATTGATACTAGTGACTTGTTGCTCGATCTGCTGTTATTGAATATGCTCTAACACCCTTTCCCTACTCTTCTCCCCTTCACGACATGACTATGCCTCCAGAAATAGACAAGGAATCTCGCGTAACCACCACTAACGTTTCACGCAATGGAGGAAACCAACCCTTGACATGGAGTACGTTCTGCGCCGCTCTGAAGACTAGGACTTCTGATATCGACAAATCGAATTCGAATTGTCTTTATCCTGGACTATCAAGCACGTCGGCTACGCAGAACAATTCGAGAATCGCAATACGAGACAGCAGCGAAATATCTCTCTCTAAAATCGTTCTAAACATCTTCTAGCACTTCTTTTCAACACAGTACTTCCCATTCAAATCGCACGTCTTCTTCTTTTACGTCTGCGGAGAAAAATGCAAAACCAAATTGATACTCAATCGTGAAAAAAGGCGGCAGAAAAACACGAGAACAATCCAGAAACGAGAAGATTCAGAGATTCTACCGAAGAGAGGCGCGAGAGTTAGAATGGTTTTGGTGCTACAATCGATCCTGTGGTTCGGATTCCTAGATCGCCGCCGTCGGTGACATCGATGTAAAAGTAGGATGCGATATGATTGATTGAATGGTGGCGGTTTAGTATATTGATCTTGTTTGGTTCTTGATAGTGGTGTTCCTGGTGGATGATAGTAGCCTTTAAGCTAGTCCTTGATACTGGCCTTGTGCTGGTTATTGATGCCGGGAAGATTCCGATGATTGATTTTAGCCTCTGTTCTGGTCTGTAATATCAATCTTTGAGCAAGTATGTGATACTGACCTTGTTTGGGTCTCTCATACCACGAACATTCCGGTGAATGATATAAGCCTTTGAGCAGGTGTGTGATACTAGCCTCTGCGCTGGTCGATGATACCGAGAAGTTTCCGATGAATGATATTAACAGTTTCGCTGGTCACTGATAACAGCCTTTGTGATTGTCACTGGTACTAGTTTCTATGCTGGTTAGTGTTGCCAAGAGCCTTTCGGTGAGTGTAAGTTGGCTTCTTGAGGTGGAGGATACCGGGTTTGATTTGATCAATCTATATCTCATACCCCAGCCTGCAACACTATGCTGTAGTGACTGCCTCGGATGATCCGGTGCATGTACATATGTTGTCAGTTTGCATACCACACAACCTGATGAGGTTTTGTACTCCATAGCGGACTTACAGCAAACAAACAGATCACTTCGCAGTCACGAATCAATCATACGGTGATTTCATGGAAAGTGAATTGAGAATATCTCAATTGTATTGTCTTCTCATCTGTATCGTAGGAAGTGATTAACATGAGCGTGAAGTGTTGCTACGGACATAGCCGCTGCCATTACATCAACGCAACCAGTCAGTCCTCCCATCTTGTTCTGTCTTACTCTTCCAAGCGACATAACCGTTATCTTCGGTACGAAAGTCTACGAAGAGACCAACATAGCGATTGAAACACGAGTTGTTGCTGTTGTCTAGGCGTAGTTGGCAGTGACAGCGCCGTAACGAACGCCGTTGACCAAGAGAGAGAACTCCAGAGAAGACTGGATAGTCATCTCGACCTGGTAGTGGAGTGTACTGTAGAATCCACCAGACACGCTTCGGCTAGTCGTGAATGCGCTCTCAGGAACACCACTCAAGTCAACTGCCAGTGAGGCAACCTTGTAGACTTTCTGTTTATCATTAGTCCATGTATCCTCATTGTTGCATATTACGCTCCAACATACCTGATCCTTGGACCGAAGTGGAGCCTGGTAGGAATCGCTCGCCAGAAGAGACAAGCTCGTTGAGCGTTCATCACCTACCCAAAAGTTCTGGTGGAACCTCATGCTTCCATGGGACGCTGATTTCGTCGCAAGGTCTTGACCCTTCTTCAGAATCCACTCCACCTGATTGCTCGCCCGCTTGACACCGTCGAATTCTGATATGAAAGAATCGATTTCCTTGTGCTTTCCTGGAATGAAGTGAGCGTTATAGCTGGTTCCGTAGTACCTACGACACTTGCGATTCTTGATCTCGGCACGGCCGTCACCTTCAAGACCCTTGGCAGCTGCGCCGCGAACAATAGCGGACCAGCTATAATTTGTCAGTCGCTGCTTATGCTTAGTTTGGGCGAGTGTGACTTACGCATGAGGAGGTCGAATTGCTTGTAGACCATTCTTCTCCGCGAATGCCTTAACCTTTTCGTAGATGTAGGGCGACTCGGAGAATCCACCAACCATGAAGACAGACTAAAGTCGTTAGTGTTCAAATAGATCGCATAGAGGAATAGAATTTGTGGTATACCTTGAGCTCCACGTTACGTGTGTGGCGGGCCTGTTCAATCTGGCCAAGTAGAAGCTCATACGTGCGAAGGAGTGGAAATTCGAACATTTCCTGCAAATCGGTTCTGATATCATTAGTGAGTCGTTACTGGACAGGGTTGATGGACTTACGCAGTGATCCTGATCTCGCCGTCCTGGATACCTCTATCCTCATCGTCTTCAATGGAACTCAGAGGAATGGGCAGACGGAGAAAGTTGATCTCGAAACCAGAGAAACCAGTCTTGACCTCAAGGACAAAGTCTTGGACCATACGACTCAGCTTCGCAGACAATGAAGTACGAGGTAAGTTCTCACTCCTATTTCCAGCGATCGACATGAAGTCGGCGGTGCCTAGACGGCGTTCCAGCCACTTCAGGAAGCCTCGCTCGACAAAGCTACCGCCGCACTGATCACCACTTCCCACCGTAGCTTCTTCCAAGGTCGTCGGATTCAATTCGGCGACACGGTAAGAGATGAGGTCTATGGTACCTCCTCCCATGTCGCAGACAATGAAACCATCACCGATGGCGAACTGGTCATCTTGAATACCTCCACGAAGAGATTGAATGGTATAGATAGCAGCAGCTTCGGGCTCAGTCGTAACTACAGTGCGTTTCAACTGAGGTAGCTCGATGCTGTTGAAACCGGCCTTGTTGACAGCTTGTAGCGTGGCGTTCTTCGCAGCATCTGACCAGACAGCCGGGACGGTAACCACCAGCGTCATTGGCAGGGTCGACCAGAGGCCTTTGCTGTACTGGATGTCAAGATTCTTGACTAGATGAGTCTTGATGTGTTTTAGATAGTCCGCAATGATATCGACCGGCTTGTTGGATGGTCCGTTCTTGTCGTTGAGACACAGCTCCTTCATGATGACGTCCACTTCGCCAGCCTTTGGCTGATCCAGAAGCAACTTGGTCCACATATGGCGCTTCTCATTTGGAGCGATGAGGGAGCCCCATTTGGTACGGTCTTTGAGTGCAATCTCACTCGGAACCTTCTCCTTCGTGCCGATCTTGGTGTGTCGAGAGGGCCAGTCTTTGATCACCAAAATGTCTTTTCCAACGATTCCAGTGTCAGAGGTCTCGCAGAACGCAACACCTGTATGGTGGTCAACTTGCTACTCATTGCTAAAGCCATTTAGTATAGACTTACCTGTATACGTTGTGCCATAGTCTAGGCCAACCACCAAGCGATTGCTGAGCATGGTGGATATGTGCGCAGCGGCAAGGTGAGCTTGTGTGAGGTGGAGGAGACATAGTAAGTCTTGTGTGTGAGCAGAAAAGCTTTAGCGAGCAGCAAGAAAATTTTCTAGCTGCTTGAAGTGAAAGTGAGTGCGAGGTGCTTGGTACGTTTGCGCGCTTAAACAGTTTCGCTGCCGTCCTCACCACTTCACCTCACTACCTGACTAAACACTCACCACCCAGACGAATTAGAGCGTAGGTCCGCGCAGCAAAGTTTCTACTTTGCTTTTGTTGGTGCTATGCTGGACAAGTTGAAAACTGTAGCCTCCGAAGCAGTATCGGGAGCAGTAAGTGCTATGCATGTCTCTGAATCTGGGTTGATTCCGTCCACTAACAACACAATTTTAAGGTCGCCGCCTTCATGGCTCCACCTAGTACCAACCCGCCCGCTGCGTCGCGCAATCACCCAGGAAACTACAGTACCGGAGATTCTGCCACAAGAATGAGCAGTGTTGAACAGTCAGCCCAACCTCGAAGCAAGACGGCGAACCAGTACACGGAGACTCAGCGTTACCCTGAAGTAAGAGAACCTAGGGTTTCTTCAGAGGATATCATCGCACAGCTTCACCAGGCGCTCATACAATGCGAAAATGATCTCAAGGAAGAGCGAACCAAACACGCCAAGGCTCTGGCAGTCAACAGGAACCAGTTGGACACGATCAAAGCCCAGGCTGCAACCATTTCTGAACAACACAGAGGCATGACATCCCTCGAAGTACTCCAGACCATAATGCAAAAACATCTTAGTCCTTATGCGATGAAGCATGATACTATGCCTGCTAAGTGGACTAAGAGTGCTATTCTTGAGGTCGCCGCAGCTCTCTCAAAGGATGCTGCTGATGCCAATGCCTCTGCTGCTGATGCAGTTTCCTCTGCTGCAGAAGTCACTTCCTTGTCAGAGCAAGTCAGGACGCTCCAGAAAGAGATGCTCGCAAAGTTAGAGAGGGTCAGTGTTGCTTCCGACGAAGAGTTGGCTCAAGAATTCCGCGTTATCATTGCGCTTGTCAAGACTCTGAGTCGCACAGTTCGCATTGACGAGACCAAGGATATTTCGACTGTCTTCGGCCCTGTTCTTCTCTTGCAGAATGTATCTCCCGATCACTTGACCGGTCGCGCGCAAAAGAAACTCTTGGTCGAAGCCTGGGTCTGGTCCGTACTTCTCCAAAACGTGTTCCAAACACCGTTTGTGATATTCGGAGATCGATGCAAAGTCTTGAATGCGACCTGGAGCAACATCTATCTGGGTGGTCACTTTGGTGAGTGGCCAAAACCCACTGCTCTCAGTGAGACATGGCGTTTCACGACAACAGAGAGTGTGCTCGCGCTCGTGGACAGAGACGTCATCACCCATGGGAAAGTAAAAGAAATGCACCAATATCTTGAGCCTGATATCCTCGCTTTGCGGAAGGAGATATACAACACCATCGGAAGTCACCTTTCGAAGGTATCTACAGGAGTCGAAGGTCCTCAAATCCAGAACATCGTCAACAAATCGTTCGCGTTTGCGATGAACATGTCACTTCAGCGAATCCGTCTTCGGATCACTTATCCCCCGGTCGGAGCAAAGTTCAGCATGGACTCGATGAAACTCATGCCGGACACTGACGACGAAGACGTCCATGAAGCAACAGTGACATTCATTGTCAATCCTGGCCTTACCAAGTGGGGTGACATGCATGGCAAGAACTTCGACCATCGTTACGATATCGTTCCTGCTCTCGTCCAGATCGCAGTTCCTCCCAAGCATGAGGTTGCTGAGGCTAAACCAGGACCGCCAGACTGGGCAGACATCGTGAGGATGGATCACAAAGAAGCCTCACTCTCCAAGGGGGAATGTGGCAAGAAAGAAGAAAGCCAGCGCTAGACGGTGTTAGAGTCCTTTCTTAGACTAATGGTCTGGAATCAGGGCTGCATATGGACTCAGATAAGCAACAACATAAGACAAGTGAACAGATAGGGGCCTACACTTCCTTTGAGAAGCTCGTTTTGCTGGCTGATAAGCGACAATGGACCTTCCTCTATGTATCTCGGCATCGGGAAATCTTAATGAGAATCTCACTTATGATCAATGTTGTTTTCCAAGGTGATTTGTGATATCGCAATATGATGTTTTAGAACCGTAGATGTAACTTTGCACTGCCGATTATTAGCAATGGATAGAGATGAGGTCGCTCAGCACGATCGGAATCGAGGCGGAAGTGAATGTTCACGTCAGAGGCGCGCCAGACCATCCCGATTCCGAGGCTAGCGCGGAACGCGTCGGTCACGTCCTCATATTGTCGAGAGTCGCGGCGGTGCAAGCATCCGCACCCACACATACGAATTGCCCTTCTGCAGCCTTCATATTTTAATCACACCCTCTATTATTTTCACACCCAATGTTGAGCATACGATAAGCTTCACTCCGCCCTACCAAACCCCTCGAACCCCCCAGACGCGCTTCTCCGCGCGTTTTCTCAACACCCAGGACATATCTTCTATACAGCCGCAGCCATGTACTTGCCGCGGAACTTAATAGCGCATCTTTACCAGAACCTCATAAAACGCACACATGCCGCCGCACCGCCAGTTCTGCTTCTAGTCGCCCTCGAACCTGACGCGCTCTGTGCCTGTCGAATACTCACCGCATTACTAAAGCGGGACTACATTCCTCACAAGATTCAACCAATTGCTGGATATGGCGACCTCTCGAGAGCGGCAGAAGAGCTGGTGCGGCCAATGCGGACAACAGACGGCGGAAGCGGGGGTGTCGTGATTTGTCTGGGCGTGGGAGGCATGGTAGACATGGAGGAGATATTGGGTCTGGATGTAGACGAGAATGGAGAGGGCGGGACTGGAGATGTTGAAGTCTGGCTCCTGGATGCAAGAAGGCCGTGGAACCTGACCAATGTATTTGCGGCCCCCATAAGTCACGACCCAGCTACAGGAGAGTTTGTGCGGAGACAAGCGGGGGTAGACAAGGGCAAGATATTGCAGTCGTACCAATCCTCAAGAGGCGGCATTATAGTATTCGATGACGGCGATATCGAGGACGAACTACAAGCAGAACGGGAGGCGTATGCTGGTCTTGAGGAGATGCCAGAGGTTGGAGAGGAAGACGACATGAGCGAGGACGACGACGACGACCAGGAAGAACAGCCGCCCTCTGGACAAGCACCGAAGAAAAGGAAGTCATGGGGGGAGGAGGATGATTCAGATCATGACATGACAGATGACGAGCGGCCAGCGCAGAGACGGAGGAGCAATTCGGTATGTACGACATTCACATGTATTAGAGTTATACTAACAACATCCAGGGAGGCTCAATACCATCTTCACCCGAGCCGAGACGGCAGAGGGGTTTACTCGCTGCTCAATTAGGCGGATCCTCAGACTTCTCCCGCTCAGACTCCCGCAGCCGCTCCGTATCCCCCGCCATAGCCCCGCCACAAGAGCAATCACTAAAAAGCCTACGGCGGCAGCTCATCAAGAAGCGGAATAAGTACGCACATACCCTAGACAAGTACTACGAACTCGGCACCTCATACTCGGACCCCGTCTCCTCGCTCGTATATAACCTGGCATCGGAACTCGGCCGCGAAGACAACGACTTGCTATGGAACGCCATTGTCGGTGTCAGCAGTCTGGAGCTGTATGGGCGGACGGGGAGCGGGGTTGGTCTGAATCCCCTCTCAGCACAGGGTGGTTCAGCAGGCTGGAATGGCAACCGAGGAGAGAATATTCGCTCAGTCCTGCGAGACGAAGTACGCCGTCTAAACCCTGTCACAGATGCTACAAGCATGTCTCGTGAGGCCACAATGGGCGAAGTGTGGGGTGTCATTCCTACAACCGCCCGCTCAGCAACAGACAAGTCCATCCGCCTATCCCCCGAACCACGCTTTCTCCTTCTACGGCACTGGTCTCTATACGAGAGCATGCTGCACTCACCCTACCTCTCTGCCAAACTACACATCTGGAGCGACGCGGGGCAGAAGCGTCTTGCCAAGTTATTAGCAAAGATGGGTGTCTCTCTAACAGAGTGCAAACAGCGCTTCACACATATGGACATGGAGCTCAAGCGCGGCCTCCGAGAACGCCTCATCAAGTTCGCCCCACAATACGGTCTCGACGGCCTCGTACCTCCAAAATCAAGCACAGGCGACCCCAAAGACGGATGGGGATTCGTCCGTTGCTGGGGCTGGAAAGCCTGTCTCTCTGCAATCGATGCAGGTGTCATCCTAGGCGCCATCCTCGAAGTCGGCGACGCAAAGAGCCTCAACCAATCCTCCTTTGACAGCTCAAACTTTGTCGGCAACAGCGAGAACAACGAAATAGCCACCACGACCCAGGAACAGCAAGACCTCGCCCAAGAACACATCACCAGCCGCTTCTGGACCGCCTACGACGCCCTCGGCAACATCGACATGCTCGTAAACCACATCAGCACCGCCCAACATCTTTATCGCGCCATCCTCCGCACCGGAACCGCACTCATCGAAAAGAAGCAAATCCGTCACCTCCGCGCCTTTCGCATGGCCGTCGTTAAAGAAGGCCCGGACGTCCAGCTCTTCACACACCCTGGCGCCCTCACTAAACTCGCCCTCTGGATCGCTGAAGCTATCGTCGAACTCAACGGCACAAAGGGTAAGAATAAGGGCTCGGAACTCGTAATGGCCGGCCTGGACGACTCAAGAGGTCTCTACGTCGTCGTCGGTTTTAGGCGGTGGCGGCGCAACCGAATCTGCAAAGTCGCGTCTGCAGAAACGAGAGGCCAAGATGAAAGCAAAGGAAGCACGACAAGCGAAGCGCGAGGAGGCTAGGGAGCAACGTCGTAAAGCCCGCATTGCACGCAATCTCGCGGCAGGCCTGGATGAAGATGAGGTCGCGGATGACTCTGAATCAGAAGCCGAAGCGTCAGATTCCTCAGACAACGACAGCTCAGACGAAGAAGAAGAGGATGAACACCGGGGCGCAGGCAGGAATCGCTTCGGAAATGCTTTCCAAGAGGTCGTCCGTGAGACGGGTGCTAGGGTACGCATGGATAGCTTCGAAGCGTGTGTGATTGAGATTAAAAAGGAGGATTTGAGTGGGTTTTTGGAGAAGCTTAGTCAGAAGGCTGTTGTTGGGTAAGTTACATTATATGGGCTTCTTGGGGGGACCCCTTCTCGTCGTTGATATTGGTATATTTTGGATGTGGGAAAGTAAAGATACGCATTTGGTAAAGGCATAGCGTTGGTATCGGCATGGTATGACATGGCATCTTGAGGTTCAAAGTATCGATATCCATAGTTTTTCTTTGGTTCTTGGGGGTATTGTTTTGGACAAGGGCTGCAATGTATGTAGCAAATAACGTTTTCATGTATGTGGACATAGCTAGCAAATCTCACGTTGAAAGAACTTAGAAGCTGTGAATCTAATCAAGTTTTCTACTAATCTTCTCGTGAAACTGTATATCTTATCAAACGATAATCTTGTCCAGCGCATCCCATTTTGAACCAGCAAAGAGAAAAGTGGTATCTTCAGAATAAAAACACACACAACGCCCGCCCGCGAACCCACATTACTGAGTGAAAGACCTATCCTTCCTTCCCATGACAAGTCCCTCGTCATCTTCACCGTCATCCCAACTACCCTCGCCGCTACTCCTCCTCTTCCTCGTCCTTTGCTTGACACCATCCTTTAACCGCCTCTTCACTTCGTCGATGTTACCATCGATGGTAGAAAATGGTTTAAGTTGGAAACCGCCCAAGTTCATGCTGCTGTTGGTTCTACTTCTAGTTCTCTTGGGTGTCTGTGGGTTACTAGAGAAAATGTCTTGGTTCGCAAGATCGTGGAACGATTCATTGCGTGGGATCTCGTTCATAGATCCAGGCGAAGTAGGGTAGTCATAAGTCTCGATATCCTGTCCTGCCTCTTCCCGGGCATCTTGGTCAGATTTGAGAGGCGGCGTACGTGGGCGCTCTTGCTTTTCCCTGGTAAAGGGATCCTCAACGATGCGTTTAGAGTGGAAGTCCTCGTACATCTCTGGACCAAGCTCATTGATAATGTCGTTGACACGTTTGGCGAGGTTCTCGCGGCGCTTTTGGAGCTTCACCAGTTCGTTGTTGGAGAATGGGTTCATCATCTTCCAGAGAGGTCCCAGTGACTTGAGTATGTCCATGGCAACTTCGCCGAATCGAAGGGCGCCGTAGGTCAGAGTAATGTAAAGGACGATCTGAGGGAGGATGAGGTGACGCTTTGGAATGTCCCATGGAATGTATCCATTGCAGTGGTTGTACGAGTACCAATAAAGCCCGAGACAGACGTACCATGCATAAGATGCTGGAGCTGCAGCCATTGCCACAAGTAACTTCCAGGTGGCCATGACATCCCGAGCCTGGACCTTGACGTTGGATGCAGCAAGTGCCTCCCTGGCCTTCCTTATAGAGACAGCCTTGGTGACGATAAAGACCAGACTGAAGAGGATGGTACCAGGAAGGACCAAAAGACTGAGGAAGAGTAACTTTCCAAGACGGTAAAAGAAAAGACCGGCTGCGTTGATTGGAGACATCTTTGCATACTGCAACTGATGATCCCGGACACCAAGCGCCTTCAGTTTCCCGTTGTAAGCGATGACTTCTTTCTTGAGCTCGACGATACGAGGGTCGTCCTTGTAGCGTTCATAGCCTTGAACGAGGCGACGGTTAAGCTCCACAATTCTAGGCAATGGAAGCTTGGTCCCTTTAGAATTGTAAAGCCGGCGTACAGCTTGGATGACCTGAAGGGTGTCGTAGTCCTTAGTGGTAACGGTGACTGAGATGAGACCTTGTCGAACGGTTTCCAGCATCTCGCCAATTGCATCTCGTCTTCCAGGCCCGTCAAACTTCTTAGCCAGCTCGGGTGGTACGTGGATGGGGGTGCCAAATTCGATGACGGCCCTTGAGCGGAACTTGTGTGCGTGGAAGTAATTCATGCCAACCGGAATGATATTCAGGTTGCAGTCGGGCTTTGTAGCTACTGTGCCCAGGGCCATGATAGCCACACCAGCTAGAGAAGTTAGTGGGGTTCATCCAGCACATGATATCACGTACCTTTGAGAGGCAAAAGATCTGTACGGTCGTGGCTACCACCCTCAGGGAAGATGCCTATACTTCCACCATGATGAAGTACGTCATGTACAGCGTCGTAGACCTCTGTCTGGTCAAGCTTGGGCGCAACTTGAAAAGGCGTTCCTTCGTAGCCGTCGGCAATGCCTTTCTTCGCCTCAGCTCCCTCAACGAACTGACCGTCCTTGGTCATGTCGTTTCGGCCAGTCATCTGTTGCATTGCAACGCCTCCCTTAAAAGGCCTCTTCAGTCTAATCTCTTCAGGGCCCTTGATCTCTAGTATCTCCGCCGTGGCCGCCTTATTGTCCACTTTTGGGAGTACGATGTTACCACCAATCTGAAAAGCCTTATCTTCAAAGTTGGTGTCGACACCGCGGACGAGCGTAGGATCGTTGATAGGGTCCGGGAGGTATATCTTGCCTGTTGCTGGCTGAGTCATATCCATAGCTCTTCCCACAGGCACGACACCTGTCAATCCTGCCATTGCGCCTACAAACTTGCGTTTCATGGATTTCTCGGCGATTAGAAACTGTATACGGCGATCCGATTCCTTCTTGACGACTCGCATCAACATTAGAGGGTCGACAAACTATCCACAGTCAGTACCTGCATCGTCGCATCTCCCAACGCACATACCTGGTTCGCATGCGGGGCGCACACGAAGATGACCGGGCCCTCTTTTGGAACCTTCCAACTACTTCTCGGGTGCACTTCCCGGAAGAAGAGCTCCACGAGGATGGAAAAGGTCCATAGAAAGGCATCGTAAACATAAACGTTCATCACCGCCAGCTTCTTGCCCTTGGCGTCCCTATTGCCCGTCCCCGTTGTGGTCGCCATATTGTCGACCAATGCGCAAAGAAAAATCAGAACCTGACTCTGCAATCGAAAACAGCAAAGGCAATGCTCGAACTCTTATGGGGGTATGTAGCGATGTAGACTCGAGAGTGAGGTAGCGATAGAGGGGTGGCGTGAGAGTTGCCGTGCACACGATGTGGAGCCGAGTTTGTATGGATGGAAACGATGATGATGGGTGCTAGACTACTCTATGCATATGTTAGTCTTTTTGTATACACGCCAAAGCGTCGCAGCGCACCTTCACCTTCTAGCACTTTCTCTTCGTATCTGCTGAGGCCGTCGCGTTTTGAAGAACATCAGGCTGCGGGAAAGCTCGTCCCAGCGGATCTAGAATAGCCGAATCCCGGGGCAGCAGGATCTTATTTCGCACTGCTAAGAGACGAAGGCGCTCAGCCGTCGCGTACCAGGCCGCTATTGTCGTTGTTGGGCTCGGGTACGGGGCGCTGGACCGGTCGGGAAAGCGGGATGCGTCTTATGTCATTGCACGTCACTTGGCGGCCCTTCTTGGTGGGGGTTGCTGTAGCGGTGCGGTAGCCAACATAAAAGATATATAACCCAACAACATGTACTACCTTGGATGATTCTCCAGCGGTAACGTTACACTCACAAGATGATGTCAAAACTTAGATGGGCCAATATACATTTATAAAAGGGTTCTCGGAACCCGGGCTACCGTAACTTATGTATGCACGAAGCAAGAAAGGTATATTATATTGTACAAATTGAAGAAGAACAAATGTTCGGGTATTGTGGTATTAGCGCTTAGACGAAGGGTGAAGACCGTTCGCCATCAACCAACACAGCCAGAACGGAGGGTGCTGGCAGCAAGGGCTGAAGCAGCACCCAAGAATTGCTCTGGACCAGTTGGGCTGGGCAAGGTGCTGTTGCCGGACACGCTGGTATTAGCAGGCGGGCAACAGGGCTGATCGTCGTGAGATGGACGGTACACCGGTACAATCGTCGTGAGATGATGGTACGATCGGCACATCGGCGTAACGGAGGA